TGTAATCCTAGCTACTCGGGAGGCTGAGGCAGAAGAATCGCTTGAACCCGAGAGGGGAAAGTTGCAGTGAGCTGAGATTGCACCACTGCACTCCAGCCTGGGCGAGAGTGAGACTCCATCTCAGGAAAAAAAAAAAAGAAAGAAAAAGAGATACTACTCAAAGAAGTATGTTAATCTTAAAAAGAAACTTGAACATGTTTGATTCCAGTTTTGCACAAAGATGAAAATAAATACATGAAGGTGTATGTATGTGTGTGCGTGTGTATGTGTGTGTGTGTGTAGTGTTTGTGAGAATTCTAGGTTACAGAATTATTTATAGTAAAATGTTAAGAGTGGCATTACATGTGGTAGGGTGTATCAGCCTACATTAGTTATCTCCTGCTCTGTAACAAATCATCCCAAAATAGAGCAGTTTGAAACAGTAAACATTTCTCATCTCAGATACTTTCCGTAAGTCAGGGAATGTGGGTAGGTTCTGGCTCAGGGTCTCCCAGGAGGCTGCTGTCACCCAAAGGCTGACCTAGGGTGGGAGAACCTGCTTCCAGATTCACTCATGCAGCTGTTGGCAGGAGGTTCAGAAGCAGCTCACCACGTGGGCCTCTCCTAAGGCTGCTCAGAACATGCCGGCCGGTTTTGGAGAGACAGGTGGGGGAGGGGGCTCGAGGGAGTGGGGAGAGAGAAGGGAGCGGGGAGCAAGAAAGAGAGAGGAGAGAGAGAGAAACCAAGAGAGAAACTGCACAGTTTTATCTCAGAAGTGGGATGCCATCACCTCTCTGCAATCTACCAGCCACACAGGCCAACGCTGCTGCAGTGGGGGAGGGGCCACACGAAGGTGTGAATTCCAGGCAGGAGGCTATTTGGGGACCATCTTGTTAAATGGTGACAACATAGATTTTTTTTTTTAATATTTTTCTTCTTTTCCTAAATGTTTTACCAGGAACATATTAGGTAATAAATCATATGGCAAACTGCCAGCTGCTGGCAGGGGCGCTTCCTTAGCCCTGTGGTTGGTTTCTAGCCCTCCCTTAGGACTCTCCTGGCTCCTTCTCCACCGCCCGGCCACAGCCTAGCCAAGGATGGCTTCCAAGCCCCGTTCTCTGGCGCCATCTCGTGGCAGCATCCAAAACTGCTATCCCAACAGCTACCCGCTACTCACCTTTTGGGTCAGGGGGCTTCACCTGCCTGCCGGAAGGTGACTGTGTTAAATCTAACGGGTAAAGCCCAAGCTCTCATGTTGGAGGCCCCAGAGATCTGCCGCGTTCAGCCCCAAATCGAGCTGTGAAACCCTAGAAGGGATGGGACGGCTATCGAAACTCAGAAGCGTGGCTGGGTGTGGTAGCTAACACCTGTAATCCCAGGACTTTGTGAGGCCGAAGTGGGTGGATCACCTTGAGGTCAGGAGTTCGAGACTAGACTGGCCAACATGGTGAAACCCCACCTCTGCTAAAAGCACAAAAAATTAGCCTGGCATGGTAGCAAGTGCCTGTTATCCCAGCTACTCAGGAGGCTAAGGTAGGAGAATCGCTTGAACCTGGTAGGCAGAGGTTGCAGCAAGCCAAGATCGCACCACTGCCCTCCAGCCTGGGAAACAAGAGCAAAACTCCGTCTCAAAAATAAATAAATAAAACTGTAGAAAGAACTCTTGGGAGCCTAAATCTTCTCTACTCTTTCTGCCCACTCCCTCTGCTCCCCAGATGCCAAAGAGGCCGTTGACCTTTGCAGACCACACTCAGCCAGGAGCAAATAGGCAGGGCCTTGTTTCCTACGGCCTTACAGCTCAGAGTCTAACGCCCAAAATCTTAACTTTCCTTTTTAAGGAACTGCTAGCAACAGGGGGTGCTCCAAAAACCTCCTGGAGTTCACACTCGTCTTAAAGAATTTTGTGACTTGACTAGTACATTTTAAACTATACCTTACCTTCATTTTTTTGAGGGAAGGAGGAAAAAGTGCGAAGTTTTAAACTAGTGCCTCCTAAATAAGTGCTCCATATTCACTGGGAGAAATTAGAAACTATAGACGGGTGAAAATGAAAATAAAATCCCCTACTAATCCCACTGTTACCTTATTCTAGAGTTGGGTTGCTTTTTTTCTATGCACTTTTTTAATTCTTAGTGGGCTTGTTCTCTGCTTATAGTTCTAAAAGTTGTTTTTCTCACTTAAGCTTTACATTGTATAAGACCACAGGTGATCATTTGGTTTTTCTTTCTCACAATATCTCAGTTCCTAGGCTATACCTGGGTGAAGTCGTTTTTATGCAAGTGGTAGGAGCAGAGAACATTGTGCCATTTTGCAGGGTAGCCTAGTTTGGTTCGTTGTGTTTTTTTTGTTTGTTTGTTTGTTTTTGAGATGGAGTTTCGCTCTTGTTACCCAGGCTGGAGTGCAATGGCACGATCTCGGCTCACCGCAACCAGGGCAGCAATACGGTGTCTCCCTGCCTCCTCTGAAACAACAGTGTATGCAGAAGAGTTCTGGGACAACTTTGGCCTGAATCGAAACAGGAAGATGATGGATACTTTATCCCCAGCCCAAGTGCTGCCCCTAAGCAGAAAGCCCAGGAGAGCTAACTACGTCATAATCTTTAGTGAAGGCCTTTAGAACACAGATATAAGCAAAATTTGTTGTTTTATTTCACATGATACCTCCAGGTTATGTTTATATTGCTTGTGTTAAGAAATAGACTTATTTATTTTATTTATTTTTGAGATGGAGTCTCCCTCTGTCACCCAGGCTGGAGTGCAGTGGCACGATCTCAGCTCACTGCAACCTCCACCTCCCAGGTTCAAGCGATACTCCTGCCTCAGCCTCCCGAGTAGCTGGGATTACAGGCATTCGCCACCACGCCAGCTAACTTTTGTATTTTTAGTAAAGACAGGGTTTCGCCATGTGGGCCAGGCTGGTCTCAAACTCCTGACCTTAGGTGATCTGCCCACTTCAGCCTTCCAAAGTGCTGGGATTACAGGTGTGAGCCACTGCACCCAGCTTATTGTTAATGTTGGCAATATGTCCACCTGTGTATGTGTACACACACACACACACACACACAGTGTTTAAAGGGTGAGTTTCAGCCAACCACGCAGGCAGCCCTAGAGCACTCACCTTCCACAGTTATCAGCTTCAACTCACCCCACTCACCCCCACCCACGTGCTCCTCGACCTGAAGCCTGGCCATTCTCCCAGCAAATCCTGTACTCTGCTGCCCCTTACTTGACCCTCCTTATCACCCCACTAAAAGCCACCCACTCGTAATTCCCTGGGCCCCTGTTATGTCTTCCTTTAAACCTCCTCTAGTATTTCCTGGCATTCATTTGGCACCTGCGTCTGCCCGGCCCCAGCCGCTCCCTGGAGGCTCTCCTCAGGGGAGGGACTTCCGCTCCATTCCACTCTGTCTCTGGCAGGCCTGTGAGGTGTGCGCTGCTGCTGTCCAAACTCTCATTTTTCCCCAAAGCAGGGTTGTGTGGAGGGTGTGTTGCACAAGATCTTTGACCTTGACAGGGTGTAACTGCACTGCCTACCACGTGAGAGTGATGAGTTGGTGCATCAGGACGGGAAATGCCATCTTTCTTCATGTTTTCACCCTCTAACATGCTAAAGATTTGACTTACCTGTGCTGCTTGTCTGTCTCCCTTTATCAGCATGTAAATTCCATAAAGGCAGAGATTTTTGTCTGCCTTATTTACCATTAAACCCTCAGCCACTGAGGTATAGTGACTGGTAAGGGATAGGGAACTCACTAAATAACAGTTGAATGAATGAATGAATTTGTTTCACAAAAGAGATCTCACAACAAAATCATCTTAGTCTGATTTTTTTTTTTAAAGACAGAGTCTCACTCTGTTGCCCAGGTTGCAGTGATGCGATCTCAGCTCACTGCAACCTCCACCTCCCAGGTTTAAGCTATTCTCCTGCCTCAGCCTCCCAACTAGCTAGGATTACAGGCGCCCGCCATCATGGCTGGCTAATTTTTGTATTTTTAGTAGAGACGGGGTTTCACCATGTTACCCATGCTGGTCTCGAACTCCTGACCTCAGGTTATCCACCCACCTCAGCCTCCCAAAGTGCTGGGATTACAGGCACAAGCTACTGTGCCAGGCCATCTTAGTCTGTTTAGAGTTTGCATCCATGTAGAAGAGAGAGAGAGAGATGAAATTAAAACTACCCAAATTGCCACAGTATTCCAGCAATTCTAGGATTCCTCACATCCACCAACAAAAGCCCTCTAAAAATCCCAGGGGGCTTGCATACCCCCCCCCCCCACCAACTGGGTATCCATCCACCTGCAGACTCGCACCTCCACCCCTCAGGGAACACACACAGTCTTAAGATGCACAGCCACTTCTTCCAAGTCTCCTCTTCACTAAACTGCCCTGAATGTGTGTTATGGGCTGAACTGGGTTCCCCTCCAAAACTCATATGTTCAAGTCCTAATCCCCAGTACAACAGAATTTGACATTTGAAGAGTGTCTTTAAAGAGGTAATTAAGGTAAAATTAGGTCAATAGGGTGGGCCCTGATCCAGTTTGATTTGTATCCTTCTAACAAGAGGAGATTAGGAGGCACAGGGAGAAGACAACCATCTGGAAGCCAAGAAGAGAGGTCCCCGGGATGCTGGGGCAGGAGAGTCACTTGAACCCAGGAGGCAGATCGAGCCTCTGGGTTGCAGTGAGCCAAGATCGAGACACTGCACTCCACCCTGGGCAACACATCAAGACTCTATCTCAAAAAAAAAAAAAAAATAAGACAGGTCTCACAGAAAACCAACCCTGCCCACCCCTGGATCTCCAACTTTTAGCCACCAAAACTGTAGGAAGTAAATCTCTGTTGTTTAAACCACAGTTGGTGGTACTTGTTACGACAGTCCTAGAAAACTAAAAGAATTTGGAAATCCCAAAGAGAAATGTGTTTTTGTTAAGGATGCCCAAGTAAAATGCAGGCCAGTAAACTGCTTGGTACGTTGTAAGAAAAAAAAAAAGAAAAAGAAAGAAAGAAACAAAAGCCATAATACACTGACATTTTTTTTATATTTGGTATTTGTAAGTCTTTAAAAAAATTTTTTTTCAGGCCATTTTTTCCTTAAAAAAAAAAAAAGCAACCAACAGCAATACTCTGTACAAGTATAACAAACATTAGAAATATGCATCATTCCAAAATAGTTACAAGAAAATTACAGTTTAGAGTCCACATCAACACATCCTAGTCATATGTGCCCCCAAGGGAGAAAAATCTACGGTATGTTAAACACACAACTGCTACACAGTAGTCTGAAAACCCAGAACTTAAGACTTTTGAGGCAAATCAGCATCAGTCACCAAGACTAGTTTAGCTTAATAAGTACAATCAAGGATTTCAAAAGGGAACCAGGCTTTTTCATCACAGATGAAAAACAAACGCGATTGGCTGCATAGTTGACCTCCGACCCTCTATCCCCAACCCCCAGGAGGCTCCGACTCAACAAAGCACAAATCCAGTGGAGTCAATTAGGCCGAAGCCTGGCTGGAGGTCACAGTGTGGCCACAGTGGGCAGACACCAAATGTCATTTCCTGCTGGTGCTGATCGTCACGAGATTCGACTTTGGAAGCAAAAAGTCCTTGTTCTTGGGAGATGGTATCAATGGCCCAAATCCCCCAAACCAGCTGGCCACCCATCTTTGGCCCTTCCATTGACAGTGAGACCCATGCCAGCTGCTTCTCTGTATGCATTTGTCAAAGACTGAGCACGGGCACTCACGCCATCCCCACAATTCCATTGGACCCTTCCAATTTTAACTCATTGTTTCTGGGAGGGATCGAAGAAGCTCAGAGGCACCCTCCTCTTGCCTCTGACCAACCCCCAGCCTGGGTGTCCTTTATATTTACACATTCATCTTCCCTTTTCAAGCTCTGTGCTATAAATACCCTTACCACCCCCACTGGCCCTGTCCCCAGCCCTCTTCAGGATGCAGAGAAGCATCCTGACCTCCGTGTGACCTGCCCCTTTGGAATCCCGGCCCGCTCCACCCCAAGACTTCCTCCCGAGATTGCTGGGGCGGCTTGCCCATTTCCCAAGCCCACACCAGGCGGAAGGGAAGAGGGTTACTGTGTTTTGCATTTTTATACAATATGTTTACAATTACATTGCTTTAATCTTTTAAAGGATTCTAATCTTTTAAAGGATTTTTTTTTTTTTTTTTTTTTTTTTCACAAGAAGTCCCTTCCTCTGACTTCTCTGTGGCAGTGACGCGGGCAGAGCAGGGCTTAGGAGCTACCTGGGATTTGCCACCCATCACAGTCATTTTGGACAAATTGGAGGGGAGAGGGTCACAGCCCACCGAACTGCCACCTGAACAGGGACCTATGAATGAAGTACAGACCGCTCCAGGATCTGTATGAGTTGGAGGCAGTGTGAAGGCATGGGAGGAATCCACCCACACTCAGCTTCATGCAACACCCCAAGGACAGCAGAGATTCCCTGATTCACACCTACTGAGCAAAGGCCCCCTCTGAAGTTAAGTCAAGAGGACCCGACCTAGCCTGGCCAACTCATTCCTTTGAGGACTTGACACTCAATGAACTGCTCACTACCAAAAAAAAATGCAAAGGATTCAGCAAAAAGTGCAATTTCCACTTGAGAAGTAAGATTCTCCCCAAAACATGATACAACCTTTTCATCCTTTCAGTACCTCAAAGGGAAAGGAGGAAAAAGGGCCTCCAGCACTCACCCTCCAAACCACATCAGGGGCTTTCAAAGTGTGGTTCACCCTTTAGAACTAAAAGACCCATTAACGCATCCGGTCAGTTATCAAAGTGCCAGTGAGGTGAGGGGCGTGGCAGAGGCAGGAGGGACCAGGACGCTGGACCAGCCGGCTCCCATTCTCAACAGGACATACCTGTCCTGTCTACAGCAGGATGCGTTACTGTTGAAGCAGCCACCGGACTCCGGGGACTTGGTTCTTCCTTCATAAAACCTCGTCTACTTCATTGCCTATTGGAGGATAAACTCAAAACTTCAAAATATAACCTGAGCCACAATATAAAATAAAAAGAAGAAGAAATTCTTTTCATGTTAATGCCTTGAGAAGTTTACAGATTATGTACCAATAAAATAAATCCACATAAATTCTGAAATTCTTGGTGGATACACACTTGAAGCAAAAACAACAACAACAACAACAACAACAAATTAATCTACATTTTAAAAATCAAAGTAATTACAGCAGCAGTATAGTGAAAAGAGGTTTTAAAAATAATAATTACATCTTTGATACAAATTCAAACTTTGTACACCTCAATTCATAGGAATGACTGTTTTTGAGAGCTTAGTGTATATATATATATATATATATATATATATATATATATATATACACACAGTAGATTCCGATATGCGTCATGGCAGAGAGAGACTAAAGCCAGTGGACTTTGGGGAAGGAAGGGTTAATCTGACACCGAATTCACACCGAAGTGTTCACAGATTGCCACGCTTCTGAACACACACACACACACATACACACACACACACGGACACAGACGCATAAAATACCAACCTGAGTAAAACGTTACTAAAAACCTAGAACATCATGAATCACTAAGTCACATATTGCACCTTTAAATAATCCTTCATACCAAATACAGACATGAGAAAAAGGATAATACAGGGACAAGAAAGATTTTTGTCACTGTAGGATTCCTCTGCTTCTCCCACTCCCACCCACAGAAATTCTCAAGGTGATATTCAAGTCTCCATTCTCACCCAACCAATGGGCTGAAATGTTGACAACAGAAGAGTCTTTGGAAAAAGTGGGAAGGAAAAAGGAAGAAAAAAATGGAGCACAAATGTACAGGGGGCTGGGGAAGTGGGGTCGGGGCAAAGGGGCCTCCCCTGATCAAATGAGAACAAGAATGTTACTGAGGAGGCCAACCTCTGATGCTAAACTACTGTTTAAATATTCCGTATATTCCAATTATGAGATTCCGTACAAAAATATAGATCTCTACTGAGTTTTGCCTGTGGAAGCATAATTCAGAAAAGGCACATGTTCAAATAGAAAACCCATCCGAAGAGGCGCCACAGACCCCTCCGTGCGCAATCATCATCCACAATTAGGTATTTTCCATCAGCTAGATTCCAAGATACAGTAGGTAAAAATAGACCTCTGATACTTAAAATATATTCAACCCAATGCAATCCTGGCTTAGCATGTGAATCATATAAAATAGTCTTTTTTTAAAAAAGAAACTGTTTTGGAAAAAAAAAAAAAAATCATAGCTCACTTTTCCTGGTTTTTCCACAATCCTCAAGGGGAAAAAAAAAAGTGACCTCATCCCACTGGTCATCAGGAATGCAGGTGATTGGCCCCCCACCCGCCCACAGTCCCCCACAGCCCCAGTCTGTCATCTGTCATGTGCAGCTTCATGCCCTCAAAATTAGTTCTCACAAAACAGAACAAAGAATTAGGATATTAGACATATAAAAACATGTCGACACCGGGGCGTGGGCCTTTGCTGTGGGCGCAACCATCTGCTTCACTCCAGAAGGGTTTTTCCTTTGGAATCAGGCGATGTAACCATTTGTCTTTCCAAACGTGGTCACGGGCGCAAGGTTTTCGTAGATTGTCATTGCGGTCGTGTTCTGGTAGATGAGATCTACTTTTGAATCTTTCTGGGATCTGACAATATCCAAAACACACTGATTGAGGAAAACATACTGGTCCTGATAGAAAAAGGAAAGAGAGAGACAGAGAATGAACACAGGTCCCCGAAATTAGCACCCAAAATTATTTCCAAACAGGTCATTCCGCAACTCCACTCCCAAGCCCCACCCACCCAACAGCAAATGGAAGTGAACGTATTTCAAGAGGTAACAACATTGTGGTGAGATCTGAAATCACAGAAGCAAGACGTCCTTCGTCAATGATTCTCAACCAGAAGCGCACACTCCACACCTCCCCTCCCCAGAGAGAAATGCCACAGTCTCGGGGAAGGTCAAAGGAACGAGGAGATGGAGAGGAAAGAACGCACACACACATTCGAACAACAATATGTCCAACAAGATCGTGTTGGCTGGGGAGGCTGTACAGAGTCATAATCAACAGTAACGCTCAAGCGAGGGGCAAAAAGGAAATAATCAGGTGGAGCTGGAGGAGGACTACCCTTCAGTCAGGCATATCGGAATCTACAGGTAGTGATGAAAGAGAGGAAAAGGAGTATAAGCTGACACAGAAAGATGTCCATGGCCGGGCACGGTGGTGCACGCCTATAATCCCAGCACTTTGGGAGGCCAAGGTGGGCAGATAATGAGGTCAAGAGATGGAGACCAGCGCCTGGCCAACATGGTGAAACCCTGTCTCTACTAAAAATACAAAAAACAGCTGAGTGTGGTGGTGCATGCCTGTAGTCCCAGCTACTCGGGAGGCTGAGGCAAGAGAATCTCTTGAACCCAGAAGGCGGAGGTTTCAGTGAGCCAAGATGCCGCCATTGCACTCCAGCCTGGCCACACAGTAAGACTCTGTCTCAAAATAAGAAAAAGATATCCATGATACTGTAAGAGAAAAAAAATCACAGAGAAGCAACATATATAAAGCAAAATCTGGCCAGGTGTGGTGGCTCACGCCTGTAATCCCAGCACTTTGGGAGGCCGCAGGGAATGGATCAGCTCAGGTCAGGAGTTTGAGACCAGCCTGGCCAACATTGCGAAACCCCATCTCCACTAAAAATACCAAAATTTGCTGGGCATGGTGGTACATGCCTGAAATCCCAGCTACTCAGGAGGCTGAGGCAGGAGAATTGCTGGAACCCAAGAGACGGAGATTGCGGTGAGCTGAGATTGTGCCACTGCACTACAGCCTGGGAGATAGAGCAAGACTCCATCACCAAAAAAAAAAAAAAAAAAAAAAAAGGATCCAATTTTTTTCAAAGTGCTCTGTGTGTGTCTGTGTCTGTGTGTGTTTCTGTGTTTACAGATACACATACAGAGCCTTATAAAGACGTACATCCAACTGTAAACACTGGCTACCTCCAGGGAGCAGGACTGGGGAAGAAAGAGTAAGACAAAAGTAAATTGTTAAGTGCTTTCATATGAATAAGTATTGTTTTCAAAACATAAAAAAGAGATTAGCAGGCTGGGCACCATGGCTCAAACCTGTAATCCCAGCACTTTGGGAGGCTGAGGCGGGTGGATCACGAGGTCAATAGATGGAGACCATCCTGGTCAACATGGTGAAACCTCGTCTCTACTAAAAATACAAAACATTAGCTGGGCATGGTGGCGCGTGCCTGTAATCCCAGCTACTCAGGAGGCTGAGGCAGGAGAATTGCCTGAACCCAGGAGGCGGAGGTTGTGGTGAGCCGAGATCGCGCCATTGCACTCCAGCCCAGGTAACAAAAGTGAAACTCCGCCTCAAAAAAAAAAAAAAGAGATTAGACTCTAGGAGCAGGTATAAGATTTCCATGTTTCTCAAAAAAAGGATAAAAGATTGAGAAATACTACTTTATATAATTATAGCAGAAAAAAGAAAAATCTCTTTTCTGACCAACACAGGAGGTGAACTTCACTCTTTCCACCACAACCACCAAGCTCACCCCAGAGCACACAATGTACCCAGGCATCTAGAACATTCCCTGCTAGACTCAAAAACACAGCACATATTCATAGAGTTCTAAATCGGTACAGGACGAAGGCCTGATACAAAATTAATATTCTGCTCTCATCCTGGTCAAGGAACATTCACCCCTTTGAGAAAGGCAACTTCGCAGTATGTTCTGTTGAAAACATGCCTCAAAAATGCTGCTTCTCAGTAACATTTTGGGTGAAACCAAATCCAACAGTAGTCTAGAAAATATGGTAGAGATTAAGCGTTCATATTCTCCACTGGTCAGTCACGCTTCTGTAGCTATAATAATTGATGTTCTTTAAAATTTACACAGCTAGGTGAAGATAAATTGCTGTATTAACAGTTAAGCAGCATTATGCTATGTCATATTATTGATGTTTGATGAGTTTGTTTCATTTGCTTATTTTAAAGATAGTCAGACCTTCTTAGAAACAAAGAGTGAAAAATACCAGTTTTTTTGTTTTTTGGTTTTTGGGTTTTTTTTTGAGACGGGGTCTCTCTGAGCCACCCAGGCTGGAGTACAGTGGCACAATCTTGGCTCAGGGCAACCACCGTCTCCCAGGTTCAAGCGGTTCTCTCATCTCAGCCTCCCGAGTAGCTGGGATTACAAGCACCCACCATCATGCCTGGCTACTTTTTTTTTCTATTTTAGTAGATACGGTGTTTTACCATGTTGGCCAGGCTGGTCTTGAACTCCTGACCTCAGGTGATCTGCCTGCCTCAGCCTCCCATAGTACTAGGATGACAGGTGTGAGGCACCACGCCCAGCCAAAAAATACCAGTTTTATGAACCAGAAGCCAAAGTTCAAAGATGTCCTAAGATTATTTAATGAGTCAGGCAGCAAGGTAAAGAATCCTCACACTATCTCAGTTTGTAGTTCCATTACTGACATCAGCACTACTATATCACTTGTATTGGGTAATTTAATCCCAAATCAGGTTACAGTCTGCAAAGAAATCCAGTGTTAGTTCACAGCCAAGGGCTGGAAAGATCTGGAAGGATGACATATTTTAACACAAATGCATGACACAATGCAACCTTTTAAAAATGGAGGGAAAGGGCTGGGCACGGTGGCTCATGCCTATAATCCCAGAACTTCAGGAGGCCAAGGCAGGCAGATACCTGAGGTCAGGAGAGACTAGCCTGGCCAACATGGAGAAACCCCGTCTCTACTAAAAATACATAATTAGCTGGGATTACATGCCTGTAATCCCAGTTACTCTAGAAGCTGAGGCAAGAGAATCACTTGAACCCAGGAAGCAGAGGTTGCAGTGAGCCAAGATTGAGCCACTGCACTCCACCCTGGGTGACAGAGCAAGACTCCACTTCAAAGAAAAAGGAAGAGAAGGACAGAATGTCAAATACAGATCCTGGCCTCACCTCTGTCTGCACCATTAAAGGCCTGTGCATTCGAAGGTCATACACAATCCCGTACACATCCACGGTGTTCTCATTCTCTATCTGGTAGATGAGACGATCAATGGCAATGAAAGTGCCCGTCCTTCCAACCCCAGCACTGAGAGAAAAGGGAAATCAGCCAGTTACAGGTGGGTTACCTCAACGGCGAGCCACTCAGAGTTCCCCATTCGTAGGTAATCTTGCTTTCCTTCGCTGTCATACTTTGAGGGCAATGCGCAGGACCAGTATACATTTGCTCAATGGAAACCTCAGCAAGTCAGACAGCACCAGCTTGGGACTGGGGCCTAAGTCGCAAACTCACGTCTGAGTCAAATGCCACACATACGACCCCTTGCTCAAGCTTCTTCAATCTCAGTCCCATTCAAGTTGCCACCGTAACCTAGGATGGCATGTTCTATCAATTTATTTCCCACTGGGCCACACAGCCACTCCTGTCTTCTGTCCTAAATTAATTCCTTTAGCTCAAAGCTAACTTCTTATTGCAAGGGGTTGGCATACTTTTTCCATAAAGGGCCAGACAGTAAACATCTTCAGCTTTGCAAACCATATGGTCTCTTTCTGCCATTGTAGCAGAAAAGCAACCATAAACAATATATACATAAATAGGCGTGCTGTGTTCCTATAGAATGTTATTTACAAAAACAGCAGCTGACCCGATTTGATCCATGGGTTACAGTTTGCCAACCTCTGTTTTGGAAGCTCAGGGCTTAGGGAGTAAGTCCATGGTTCCTTATCCAAACCTTTCCTGAATTTGTAAATGCCTATTACATTCCCTCTTAGGCCTTGCTTTTGGAAAGTGCTCACAAATACATATGACATTTGAAATCTGTCGCACATGATGCGCCATCTGTGTACCTGCAATGCACCAGAATCGGCGATTCAGGAGGACTCTGCTTCATGTAGTCACGAACAAGGTACCGGAAGTTGATGAGCAGGTCAGTAGTGTCAGGAACACCGTGGTCTGGCCAGGAGGTGAAATGGAACTGTCTCAGAGGGTGGCTCTCACTTGTCTGGATCTAAAAGCCAAGAAAATGAGTTAGATCCAGAGAGAAAGGCTGCCTAACAACATCAAAAAGGCAAGGGAAATCAAGCAGAGCCTGAGTACCAACCAGGAGTCATAATGACTACAGATTAGAACTTTACGTTTGCACAGCAGCTGATAAAGTGCTTGCTCATCAAACCCTCACAATATGCCCCAGAAGGAGAGTTTATTATCCCCCTTTAAAGATGAGGCAGCAGAGATTCACAGAAGTGAAGTCATTTCCCCGACACCAATTTCAGATGCAACAGAAATCCCTCATCCTCCAATTCTGCATTCAGATCCTTCCCTTCCTGCCACAGCTGCCTGTCAATAATGAACTCACATTCTTACATCTGCACCTCCTTAGCGCTTCATGAACCACAGCCCCAAGCCCCTCTGAAAATGTCACTGACCATAAAAACCAAAAATAATTTACTCAAATACAACCATGATCATCAGCACCTTCTGGGCAAGAATGGCCTCATAATTCACTATGTCCCCTAGAGAAACAAATAGTGACAGGCCACTACCAAGCACCATGCAAATATTTAGAACTGGAGGGAGCTGAGAAAGGACTCCCCCCAAAAAAATGCATTACAACATCTGGAAGTCAACAGAGCTCATTATTACACAGACTGGTTCCCCACCTCGTGCCAAAGCATATATACCTTGAAGCACCAGAAGCCCACCCCAGCTGGGGCATGTCCTGACCCTGACTCAGCTGTGCGTGTTATGTCCATATCCGGGAATGACCGCACCTATGAGACCTACATCTGCACTGCAGGCATTTCTGTCCCCTTTATGACAGCCACCCTTTGACACTCATTTTTTCAAATGTATATTCATTATAAGAACAATGAATTTGCAGTATTCATCATTTGGAAAACAGCAGGGAAAAAAGTGTGAATGAGGGGAGAGGTGCTGGAAGACCTCATCAGAGATAAAGTCAACATTCACAGATTTAACCAAAAGTACTGATCCAAAGACAGAAACCAGCTGTGAGAGATGGAGGTAGGGGAAGAGGAAGAAAAAGGGAGGGAGAGGGAGAGGGGAGGGGAAGGGAGTGGAGCAGGAAACGGGAGGAGGGGGAGAGCAAGAGGGAGCAGCATGGAGGGTTATACTTAGTATGATCTTCACAGAGAGGCAAAGGGGCTCAGGTTAGGGGTGGTAGTCAAAGGATGCCATTAGCTCGATTTGCAATGTTCTCAATTTTCAAAAAGAAAATGTATTCATGCATTTTGTAGAATTAAAAAACAACATGTTACTAAATGCCATGTGGTGTCCTGGATCAGATCCTGGAACAAAAGAAGGCTTTAGTGGAAAAACATGAAATCTGAATAAAGTCTGGAGTTTAGTTAATAAAAAATAATTATTATTTAATAGCAATTTTTTTAAATGATGTAGACAACTCCACCCAAAATTCCCCTCCGCAAGGGTAAGCCCCAAGCAGTGGAGGCAACCAAGAAGAAACCAGTCAGTTTAAATGAGCAGCATCTATAGAAATAAGCATGACATTTTTCTACTACTGTGAGCTGCATTATTTAGGTGGCCAGATCAGTGCATGGTAACAGCTTTGATGGCATCTCCAGAGGAGGAGCTGAAATACTGAGGCCAGACCCTTTGAGACACAGCAGTTGGCAAAGAATTAGAACTTAATATACCATACTTTTATCCATGACTTACGGAATCTTCAAGGATAATGTCATAAACTAGACCCTAACCCACGAAGGCCCCTACCCACTCAAAAGATTCAAGATTCAACTCCATTAAATCTACTGCCTGACTTTCCTTTTATGCACTATTCATAATACGCATAAATTTTCATCTCCTAAAATGCTTCTCTTACATTACATCCTGCCATTTCCTGTGGTAATTACATAGTCTACCCATCCATTATTTCTTTTTGGGGGGGAGGGGACAGGGTCTTGCTTTGTCACCTAGGCTGGAGCATAGCGGAGCAATCTTGGTTCACTGCAGCCTTGACCTCCTGGGCTCAAGCCATCCTCCTACCTCTGCCTTCCGAGTAGCTGGGACTACAGGTGTACGCCGGCATGCCCGGCTAATTTGGGGTTTTGTTTTGGTTTTGTAGAGACAAGGTTTCACCATGTTGCCCAAGCTGGTCTCAAACCTGAGCTCAAGCAATCCGCCCACCTCAGCCTCACAGGCATGAGCCACCGCGCCTGGCCCATTATTTCTAATAGCTGAATAATGATATTATAAGCAGACAAGACATAGTTGAGTTATCCTTTCTACAAAAGCTAGATGTCTGCATGGTTTCCAAAGTTTTCCTCTATTATAAATAATGCTGAGACTCATCTTTCTGAATAAGCCTTTTTGATAGTCTCAAACTTCAGACCAGCAAATCGAAGAGAATAGATGTTTTATTAGAGAAATGCAAATCAAAACACATTGAGATACCATCTCACGCCAGTTAGAATGGCGATCATTAAAAAATCTGGAGACAACAGATGCTGGAGAGGATGTGGAGAAACAGGAACACTTTTACACTGTTGGTGGGAGTGTAAATTAAGTCAACCATTATGGAAGACAGTGTGGCGGTTCCTCAAGGATCTGGAAATAGAAATACCATTTGACCCAGCAATCCCATTACTGAGTATATACCCAGAGGATGACAAATCATCCTATTATAAAGACACACACACATATGTTCATTGTAGCACTGTTTACCATAGCAAAGACGTGGAACCAACTCAAATGTCCGTCAATGATAGACTGGATAAAGAAAATGTGCCACACATATACACCATGGAATACTATGCAGCCATAAAAAAGGATGAGTTCATGTCCTTTGCAGGGACACGGATGAAGCTGGAAGCAAACTGACAAGAACAAAAAACCAAACACCACATGTTCTCACTCATAAGTGGATGTTGAACAATGAGAACATATGGGCACAGGGAGGAGAACATCACGCACCGGGCCTGTTGGGGGATAGGGGAGCTAGGGGAGGGGTAACAGGGGCTGGGGGGATTAGGGAGGGATAACATTAGGAGAAATACCTAATGTAGATGATGGGGGGATGGATGCAGCAAACCACCATGGCATGTGTATACCTATGTAACAAACCTACACATTCTGCCCGTGTACCCCGGAACTTAAAGTATAATAAAAATACAAAAAAAGAACACCAAAAGAGAGAGAGAGAGAATAGACATTTTTAGGCCTCTGATATAAACAGCAAAGAGTTATACCAACGTACACACCCATCAACAGATACCAATGCTGTTTCATGGCACTGCCTCTATTTTCAAAGCATCCTTGAAAAAAGAAAAAAAGGCACATAAAGTTGACTTCCTAGAATGCCTGCACAATTTAATTGGATTTGCTTTTGTAAATCTTGAGGAGAAGGGAGACCATGTGCATATGCCCTGGAATCCTATTAATGTAACTGTTATCAATGACTCCTAACAGCACGTGGCTGCTCCTGATGCCATATTTCTAACCAAATAATCCAAAAGGCTATGGTTTGTTCTGTAAAATCTATGAGCAAGTCTGCTGGAAGTGGAAAGAAAGGAAAGAGTTTCTGATGCAGGGCCACCCGCTTATGATTCATTTTATTCAGGAATGACCCAGGAAATTCCCAAGAAAGTAAATTTCCCAGGAAAGTCAAGCTAAGGGGTTGCCTTGGAGTATACATGCATATGGATTGCTCTGTTCTGTAAAGAAGGGATCAAAACATTTCTCAATGCATAGGAAAACATACTAGCTAATATCAATGTAAAACATATCACCCACAAATTCACATACGGTAATTACATGAGATCAATTAATCCCGACTTCTTACTTACATTTTTCACTGTGAAATCTCTGATGGTCCATTCCGGAAGAACAATTTCTGATGTCATCGCCACAGTTATGTCCCCATAGTCGTGAGCCTGCTTGGAGGGCCAATACTCCTCACATTTGGTCTGCAACAAAATTGCATTTTTATAAAAATACTCAGATCATGCCATCTCCCATCACTAAAACCTCATAAGGGAGACAAGCTATTGAAAACTGGCATCGGAGATGGGATCAGACCCTTCTAGTTGGGTTTTGTTTGACCCATAGAATTGATTTATTTTATTTTTTAGAGACAGGGTCTTACTATGTTGCCCAGGCTGGAGTGCAGTGGCTATTCGCAGATGTGATTATAGCACACTACCACCTCCAATTCCTGCACTCAAGCAATCCCCATGCCTCAGCCTCCCGAGTAGCTGGGTCTAAGGACACACCACAGCGCCTAACAGAATGGTTTGTTTTTTCTTTTTTTCAATTTACAATTCTTGCCAACTCTTTTAAAATTCCTCATACAAATCTAGACTTATTTTCTCTTTAAAAATCGGATCTGCCTACACTAGGCCCGGGTTTCTGCATGAAAATCGATTTAGAGCGGAGCAGCAGCTGTCCCTTGACCTGCCACTCCACAACTGTTCACTGACCTCATCTTCTCCCATAACCCCAGGCAGCTGGAAGAAATGACGACTTTTTCCCAAGGCTTTCAGATACACATCAGTTGTAATACAAATACACAGACCAACAAAGACAGTCAAATTAAATCATTCTGGGACCTTTGATTTCTATAAAGTTGGTGGGCAGATGTGAAGAGAAATAAAAACCAGGACACGCCAGCTCTCCAAGGCAAATGCCTACACATACATACACTCACATGCATACACTCACACATACACATGCATTCACACACACACATACACACACACAAACACACACACATACTCAATATTCCAAGGTGTGCTCTACTGTTGTTAGTTTTCAAAGCTAATTGATTATCTGACTCACCTGAGAAGTCTGAGTTGTTTTGTGAGTTGTTTGTTTGTTTGTTTGTTTGTTTGTCTGCTTTGAGACCGTCTCACTCTGTCATACGGGCCGGCATACAGTGGCATGATCATGGCTCACTGCAGCCTCAACCTCTCAGGCTCAAGTGATCCTCCCACTTCAGCTTCCTGAGTAGTTGGGACTTCAGGGATGTGCCATCACACCCAGCTATTTTTTTGTATTTTTGTAGAGATAGGGTCTCACTATGTTGCCCAGGCTGCTCTTGCACTCCAGGCATAAAGTGATCCTCCCACCTTGGCCTCCCCGAGTGCTGAGATTACAGGCCTGAGCCACTGTGCCTGGCTTTGTTTTGTTTAAAAAGGGATTCCTGGGTTCTCTCGAGATTCTGACTCTGGCTATGGGATCTGTATTTTTTTTTTTTTTGAGACGGAGTTTCGCTCTTGTTACCCAGGCTGGAGTGCAATGGCGCGATCTCGGCTCACCGCAACCTCCGCCTCCTGGGTTCAGGCAATTCTCCTGCCTCAGCCTCCTGAGTAGCTGGGATTACAGGCATGAGCCACCATGCCCAGCTAATTTTTTGTATTTTTAGTAGAGACGGGGTTTCACCATGTCGACCAGGATGGTCTCGAACTCTCGACCTCGTGATCCACCAGCCTCGGCCTCCCAAAGTGCTGGGATTACAGGCTTGAGCCACCGCGCCCGGCGGGATCTGTATTTTTCTAAGAAAGAACTCAGGATCTGGATACACACTGGCACGGAGTTGATTCCCAGCCCAGCCTCTTACCAGGTGTATTTTTGTTGCTACCTTGTAGGCAAGTTCTTAAACTCTCCAAGCCTCAGTATCCCCATCTATAAATCATAATGCCTCACAGGGCTGTTACAGGAAAGAAAGAACACATATGCAGTATCTAATGCAGAAAATACACTAGCTCCCTTCCCCATCCACCCAGGGTCAGTAATACCCACTTCAATCTTGACTTAAGATGAACAAGGGACCATTTAAATTCATCTTCATGTTCTCCATTATGTAATTATGTCATTTTTATTTATCTAACAGATAGATTTATAAGAATGTTTCACGTATAAGGCCCTGGACTCAACAGTATTATAAAGTTTATTTGCATTCTTTTTTTTTTTTTTTTGAGACTAAGTCTCTGTTGCCCAGGCTGGAGAGCAGTGGCATGATCTCGGCTCACTGCAACCTCCGCCTCCCAGGTTGAAGCAATTCTCCTGCCTTAGCCTCCCTAGTAGCTGGAATCACAGGTGTGTGCCACCACACCCGGCTAGTTTTTGTATTTTTAGTAGAGATGGGGTTTTGCCATGTTGGCCAGGCTGGTCTCAAACTCCTGACCCTCAGGTGATCTGCCTGCCATGGCTTCCCAAAATGCTGGGATCACAGATGTGAGCCACCGCACCCAGCCTATTTGCATTTATTTAAAAAATGCTTTCATTTCTCCTACAACCTATTCTCCTGATTCAAGAAGAGGGTAAGGGGCCCACCCTCTATCACAAGCAACATGAGGATGGGCATCATCTCTCATTACTCTGTTATCTCTTACTGTTCTGTTACCTTTCCCTCCTCCATATCCCCAGCCTCTAGCACAGGACCTGACACATACCAGGGGCTGGATAAACATCTGCTAGCTTACAGTGAAATAAAGAACATTAAAAGAAATGATGCTTGGGCTGGGCGCAGTGGCTCACCCCTGTAATCCCAGCACTTTGGGAAGTCGAGGCGGGTGGATCACCTGAGGTCAGGAGTGTGAGACCAGCCTGGCCAACATGGTGAAACCCCATCTCTACTAAAAATAAAAATAATAAAAATAGCCGGGTGTGGGTGGTGGCACATGCCTGTAATCCCAGCTACTTGGGAGGCATTGCAGTGAGCTGAGATCATGACACTGCACTCCTGCCTGGGTGACAGAATGAAACTCCATCTCAAAAAAAAAAAAAAAAAGAAAAGAAATAATGCCTGATGGGCTCCCACTATCACCGGGGACCACTCAAAGTGTACACCCCAGAGTTGCGGCAGCAGGATCACCTGGAAACTGGCAAAAATGCAATTCTGAATTAGAAACTCTGAGCGTAGAACCCCACTCCTGGTGATTCTGATGGAAGTTAAAGTTTGAGATCCACTGGCTTAAGAAGTCAACTCCTATTCCTCAAGCAATGCACCTACACTTAACAACAACTCACAAGGCAACATTAAGTCCCATTCCTGAGGCACAGCGTTTCTGAGCTTAGCATGTGTTTTTCAGTTCTCTTCACATCAATTTGTAGAAATACAGAATTTTATTACTATAAAAAATCTTCTCTTTGATGGAAGCAGCAGAGGGATTTCAGGACCTCATAGGAGAGAAGGGGCTGCTGAGGCTTTTCCAGGGATAAATCTGAGATTTTGCTTAAAGAAAGAGTTCCAGGCCAGGTGCAATGGCTCAAACACTTTGGGAGGCCAAGGAAGGGGGGGGGCAGTCACTTGAGGTCAAGAGTTTGAGACCAGCCTGGGCAACACAGTGAGACCTTGCCTCCACTAAAAATTTAAAAAAAAAAAAATTAGCCAGGTGTCTGGTGCACACCTGTAGTTCTAGCTAGTAGGAGACTGAAGTGGGAGGGAGCCCAGGAATTCAAAGCTGTAGTGAGCCATGATTGCACCACTGCAGTCCAGCCTGGCTGACAGAAGAGACCCTGTCTCAAAAAAGAAAAAAAAAAAAAAAAAAAGCTGGGGTGGAGGCAGGGAAGTTCAGTGTTCAACCTAAGTTTGAAAATCACCGAAATGATGAAAACTCTCATCTCACAGATGAAGAAGCTGATTGCTTAGAGGCGTGATGAGCTTTCCCATGTTCACGGGGCAGTGAAGGACAGAGCCACACTGTGAACAAGCATTTTGCACTACGCCTGGGAGATTTTTTCCCAGCACTAACCCACTCCTGCCATGTATTAACTCCAGCAGCGACATAACAAATAGAAGACAATGGTATTTGTCCACAAAAAAAGATAATGATGGCCGGGCATGGTGGCTCACACCTATAATCCCAGCACTTTGGGAGGCCGACGGAGGCGGATCATGAGGTCAGGAGTTTGAGACCAACCTGGCCAACATGGTGAAAGCCCATCTCTACTAAAAATACAAAATAATTAGCCAGGTGTGGTGGCACATGCCTGTAATCCCAGCTACTCAGGAGGCTGAGGCAGGAGAACCATTTGACCGTGGGAGGCAGAGGTTGCAGTGAGCCGAGATCACACCACTGCACTCTAGCCTGGGTGACAGAGTAAGACTCCAGCTCAGAAAAAAAAAAGAAAAAAAAGATAATAACAAAATAGAATTTGCTTAAAAACGTTTTTAAATGTTTCTCTTAAGGGAAAAAAAGAAAACAAGTTTCTAAGAATAAAGTGCTAATGTTTGAGGTTTTTTTTTTTTTAAAGAAACAAATGGTTTTTAAGATACCCTTCCGCCACAATAAAAAGTAATTAATTTAATGTAATTTTAAATTTTAAAAACTAAAAAAGATACTTACTCTTCCCTGTTCAACACATTTGGTCAACATAATAATGGCATATACATTTTTCTCCCAAACCATACGCCAAAAATCTTTCAAAGTGTTTGGTAAAGGTCCTTGTGTGGCAATAAACTCTTTCTTGGAGTGGTAACCCTAAAAATGGGAAAGAACATAGTCAACCTCAAAGAAACAGCAAGAAAAGCGAAGTGCTCTGAAGATTTCATTAAAGCAGGCCAGTGCTGTGAGATCATCCTCCCACTTACAGGCATGTAGTTGGCATTGATATAGTCATCCGTTGAATGGGTCTGGACCGAAAGTTTAACTCGGGAAATATCATCTGTGACATGAAAAGAAAAAAGTCCTCATTATAAGCAAATGTTTTAGTAAATTTGGACACAAAACAGAACAAAAAGAAATTCAAAATGGCAACACTGGGATTTGCCTTTGAAGAGGCACAGCGTGGCATTTCACTTAGACCACCTCATTAATCCTCGTGATCGCTCTATGTAACCGTGGCACAGAGAAGTCACATGATTGCCAGAGCAGAGCTAACGAGTGGCAGGGCCAGGATCTGAACCTGTAGCCCGACACCAGGGCCCAAGAGCTTAACCACACCAGATGCCTTCTCACATAAAATGAACCTGTTAACTGTTAGCATCCTCAGGTATCTACCATGAGCTAACATGAGGGAACATGCTAAACAATTTTGTTTACTCCTCAAAACCACCCTACAAGCCTCTGCCCTGCTTCACAGATAAGGAAACTGGGGGCTATAAAGTGACATCTCCAAATCCATGTATCTGGTAAGGGGCAGTCAAAATTCAAATCTAGTGCCCATTCCACTAGGACACGGTAGGTCCCTAGGTTAACCTCGCTACTCTGCCTCTATTCTCATATAAACAAGTCGATATAAAAAGAGAGTGCCAAGTTCAAGAAAAAATTGAATGTATAAGACCGCTATAAGTGGTCGGATCTACAACACAGAATTATATGTTTTAGAAATATTATTATCATCTCAAAAGCATACACACAAACTTGCCCAACTCAAGGGATGAAATCATAACCTTAGAAGTGCAAGTGTCAGGCTGAGCCAGAAGCAGCAGCACCTCAGTTTCCCTGTCTCTGACTGTACTTCCTCACCCTCCTCTGGACAAAATAACATCACAGTGCTTAACTTCACTTAACATCAAGTAAGTCTAGTACTAACTTGAGTCTCAGCCTAAAGGCTTCCCAATAAAAACAATACTCAAACACCCACTTCCAAGCTCCCACTCCAGATCTGAGACTCTCCACAGACATTCATAAGAAGAGGCCGATAATCCCGAGTTACTCTTAAAAGGGCAGTACTGAGGCAGGTCCCCCAGCCTAGTTTTAAAAGCGTTTCCCTCAGAACACGGGCCAATATTCCTTGTCAAGTACAGAGGGATGAATGGAGAGAAAGAACCCAGGAACTAGAAAATGCTAAATTTAAAAAGAACTTAATGTTTTAGTCCAGGAATGAAAAACACAGCTTCAAATAAAGACAACGATATCCTGATGTAAAAATTATCTGCAGTCTATCAATTTGAGCTACATCACAACACAGCTACAATCTACTTATATTCCTCTTTGCGTCCTAATCCCCACCCAAAAGAGAGATCATGATCAACTTTCCATAGAGAAGTGTTTACATTTCATCTGATGCTTTGATGTAATAAATAATTCTCATTTCAAACTCAATTTACTATTATCCCTGCTGACTATGATGCAGACATTGTCAATTCTCAAAAACAGGAAACAAGCTAAATATAATTCATACTTAGCTGTGGAATTCACTCAGCCCATGTGTCTAGACACAGAAAGTGTGACTCCCTGTCTGTCTCCCTCTGCTCACTTTCATTCCAGAATTATAGAATTGAAATAAACAGCTTTGAGACAGAAGGGTGAAGAACACAGACTCTGGCCGTTTCCCTCAATGAGACGGGCAGACCTAGTCCAAAATCTAGTTTTCCTGTCACTATCTGTGTGACCTTGGAAAAATCACCTAACCACTCTGTGCCCCATTTTCCTCATCTGCAAAATGAATATTCTACTACCTACTTCATAAGGCTGTTGTGAGGATTAAATTAAATAGAATGTACCTAAATATAGTGCTTAGCACATAGTAGGTGACTAATGGATGATTGTGGGAGTAAGTGACTAATGAATGATTATGGAAGTGGTTACTTAGAACACTGATTCCTTCCCCTCTCCAGTTAGAGACCTGATGGCCACTGATGAAAAAAGAGAAGATGCTGCAGATAAAACAACTTACAGGGCAGAACATTATTATAGCGATTCTTTCCTCTATTCTCAGCCAATTCCGCTGCATACTTAGGTTGACTAATTCCAACAAGTTTCAGATCCTGAAAACAAAATAAATGAGGTGTTCATTTATTTAGTCTTCAAATATTATTCATACTTAGCATAGCATATGACAGCAAAACCAGCCCAATAGTCCCATAGACAAGTTGCTTTTGGATAAACATAGAAATTTATCCTTCTGCTATTAAAGCCTGAAACTTGTATTTGTTTTATCTGAGTTCCTTTCTCAGGAAAGGATCTTCAGGAAGTATCAAAGAACTGAAACTCATCAGATCACTGCACTCAATGCCTCCTTGTCCCTCCTTAGTTCCTGTTTTCTTACACATTGTTACATTTCTTTCCTGATAGATAAACCCCTAGTTTTAGTCAGTCAGGGAGATGGATTTGAGATTGAGCTCCCATCTCTTTGGCTGCAGCACCCAATTAAAGCTTTCTTTCCTGGCAATACTTGTTGCCTCAGTGATTGGCTTTCTATAAGGCAATGAGCAGGACCTAGACCAAACCCGTGGTGTTCTGGTAACAACAGAACAAAGTGGAAATCTAGAGGTGATATGGCTTAAATTGTGCCCCAAAAAGATATGTTGGATTTCTCACCCCTAGTACCTTATTTCTTAATAAGTACCTATGAGTGGGATCTTATTCAGAAATACACTCTTTGCAGATGTAAACAAATCAAAATGAGGTCATAATAGAACAGAGTGGGCCCTGAATTCTATATGACTGGTGTCCTTATAGGATGAAAAGAGACAAAGAGACATAGACACATGAGGGGAGACAGTCATGTGAACACAGAGGGAAACATGAGAGTGTCACTGCCACAAAACCAAAGGATGTCTGGGGCTCCCAGAAGCTGCTGAGGAGAGAAAGGATGCTGCCAGAGGCTGAGGAGGGAGTGTGGCCCTGCCCACACCTTAATTTGGGATTTGTGGTTCCAGCCTCCAAGTTTGTGGTGCTTTTTTATGGCAGCCTAGGAAACTAATACAGAGGTCAGAATATAGGAAAAAGGACAACCCTTGCCTTCAAGCAGCTGCAACCTGGAGGAGAGGTATACATAGAAAAAAAAAACTAATATCACAACAAGGCAGAATTAAAGAAATGCTGAATATTGGTAACAAGCAACACGTTACAGAGGAAACAAGGAAGTCTTAGCACACAGAATTCACGTCCTCCTAATGGGATCCCAGAAAGCCCACAGAGGAGGCAGCATGTGCACTGTGCTGAGTGCTGGGCAGGATTTCAGGAGAGTAAAGGCAGAGATGCTGGACAGGGCAGCACAGGAGGACAAGCATACATGGACATTCTGAGAAGGGCTAGTTCCTGGGCTGGTTGGAGCAGAGCTGCTGGGCTGGTTGGAGCAGAGCATGGGGCACTGAAAGGTAGACACCGGCCAAGAAAGTCCTTCTGTAGGCCTTCACGTGAGCCTCACGAGCCACCCTGGGCCACACCATCGTCAAGCCCCAGACTTCTACATGTCCATTTGGTTTCTTTGTAGCTCATATAGTTTCCTAAGTATCCTAGCTAATAGTTCCCTGACTTGAATTCCTAGTTTCTATAACAGTTTTCTAACTCTCAGGAAAAACATAAGCCAATTTGTAAGGAAAGTGACTGTGTTTGTCAGTAGTAGGCTGAGGCAGACATCCAGGACAGTATCACACAGCAGGTTTGGAGTGCAGGTCCACAACCCCATGTATTAGCCATTTAATGTAACCTGTTTGTGTGAGCTCATACCTGACTTTGAGCCTCTATTGTCTGTGAGTAATATAACTGCACTGCTAACTCTGTAGGAGAGAGAATAAAGCCAAGTACCAACTGCCTACAGTCCCTCGAGTGTCCTTTCAGCTACCTGACACCCATCTACGAACTCTCCTCGGACCGCAGCTTGGGTTGGAAGCTGACACAATTAAAAACACAGTATTTATAGCCACATACTTCATATTCTTCCGCAAACCCACAGTTGGAGTCAGCTTGCTGCTTCTTGAAGTAGGCCTCAAAATTCTCCACTCTGATTAACTTAGATCTAAGAAAACAAAACTTATCAGGACTTTTTTACATTCAATGAAATCCATATTCAAATAGAAAAGTACTAGTTATTAAAAAAAAATAAAGAGATTACTTACTTTTTAGGTCTTCATGATAGAAAGGAAAAGAAAAAAATAAGCAATTAGAAAGACTCATTCATTCATACTCTAGAGATGACAATAAACATCTTCCCAAAACAACAAAACCCAGGGTATAATTTGGCAAGAGAAAAGTCAGAGTTCCATTATTCACAAAACACTAAAATATGAATCAGGAGATCTGATTTCTAGACCCTACTGTGTAACTAATTGGTTTTGTGACTGTAAGTAAGTTCTTCTCTCCCCTGGATCTTGATAACCTATTTGACATTTTTAATCAAAAAGTATGTATTTATTGGTAGAAGAGTAGAACATGAAAAGGAAGCTGGCTTCAGGAGACTAATAAAACATAGATTCCTTGCAGAAAACAGAGCTAGCAAAAACTTCCTGATGATCATGGTCAAAATGTGCCAATGGAGAAAAATGACAGGAAGTTCAAAAATTCTTTACAGATAGTCACTGAACAGAAGGGAGGATCTAAAATAAAGCTAATAAGTTGAGAGACTTACTTAATTTGAGAAAAGGACACTTCATTATTCTTTGCATCTTTCCTGTTTTAAGAGAAAAGAGACCCATTAGACAAAAAAGATTCCTTGCTGTGCTTTTCCCTTGCGTATCTGGAGTCGATGTCATCTATGAACTAAAGGTGTTACACCTTTTCCTCAGGCATCAATTCATAGATGACACCAAATCCTGCCCCCAATACTAAACGTAATGACCCAAGCTGCAAATGCCAATTATAAATCTGTGAAGTTATTTTCTTTTGTACTATCTAAAAGAAGGGAAAAAATCATATCCAAGTCACTTTTAAGAATTTCCCTGCAAATATATAGCAGTGACATTACCTTATTGTAAAGAAAGAGTTGTTATTTCATACTTTTTTTTTTTTGAGAAAGCTTTTCTATAAGTGAATGCAATAAACCAAAAACCATATCAGATCCAGAACCAGTAAGTTGGTGAGGCATCTGCACACTCCTGCACTGTTGACTGAACTCTGCATTACTGTTTAAGGAAAACTTTCTGGAAGGTCATTTGGCAGTATGTATCAAAACCAAAAGCATGCATATCCACTGACACAGCACTTGCCCAGCTTGGAATTTAGCCTAAGGAAATAATCATGAATGTGTCCAAAGATTTAGGTACAAGGATAAGTAACTGTGGCCAAGCAGAAAAAAAATAAAAACATCTAGGAAATTGATTAAATAGATCATGGTACTTCCATACAGTTGAATACTCTGTAACCACTTAAAATGATGATGAAATGGGCTGGGCATGGTGGCTCATGCCCGTAATCCCAGCACTTTGGTAGGCCAAGGCAGGCAGATCACCTGAGCTCAGAAGTTTGAGACCAGCCTGGCCAACAAGGTGAAACCCTGTCTCTACTAAAATTACAAAAAAATTAGCCAGGTTTGGTGGTGGGCACCTGTAATCCCAGCTACTTGGGAGGCTGAGGCAGGAGAATCGCTCAAACCCAGGAGGTGGAGGTTGCAGTGAGCGGAGACTACACCATTACACTGCAGCCTGGGTAACAAGAACGATACTCTGTCTCAAAAAAAGAAAAAAAATTGATGATGAAATGAACCTGCCACCAATGTCTGAACTGAATGAAGCAGGTTAGATACTAACATGTGTAACATGATTCCATGTGTGTGCACGCAATGGTGAGTTTGGTCACATCAAAATGTCAAGAGTAGTTTTGTGTGGGTTCATTGATTGCAGATTTCCTATTTATTTTTGTTCTTCTGTGTTTTTCACCATAAGCATCTATTACTCTTTTCTTTCCTTTTTTTTTTTTTTTTTTTTTGCTCAGAATCCCTCTTCATCTATTAGCCTTGCTTGCTTCTCTCTATATTACTCTTATTTTTAACACAAAACAATAAAGCTGTTTTATCCAGCCACTGACCCATCCATTTCCCCCCTAAAATCAAAACCTAATCTGGCCAGGCACAGTGGCTCACGCCTCTAATCCCAGCACTTCAGGACGCTGAGGCAGACAGATCACTTCAGGTCAGGAGTTCGAGACCAGCTTGGTCAACATTGTGAAACCTTGTCTCTACTAACAATATAAAAATTAGCTGGGTGTGGTGGTGATGCCTGTAATCCCAGCTACTCAAGAAGTTGAGGCAGGAGAATCGCTTGAACCCAAGAAGCAGAGGTGGCAGTGAGCCAAGATCGTACCACCGCACTCCAGCCTGGGGGAAAGAGCCAGACTCCATCTCAAAAGAAAAAAAAAAATCAGAACCTAATCTAAAAGCTGGAGCATAAGCACTGCCTGTCACCTCAACAGGGCAGGGTGAAAGCACAATGAACTGGCCTGGACCGCGTGAGGACTCCTGGGGCAGAATGGAGATTCCCTGGTTGACAGCACCTAATAGCAAAGAAATCCCAACTAACACACACAGGCTTCACACGTGACACAGTCAGACAAGAGGGCGTGCCATGAAGTGTGAAGACCAGGTTTAAGTTCTGTTTCTACACTTCCTGACTCGGCTTCTGCATCCTTGGAAGGGACTTACCGGACTTGCCTCACAGAGCCTCATCCATGAGATAGTTCATGGAAAGCACAGATGCGGGCACACAGTGAGCACTCACAAAAGGGCTGCTCTTTTTACCATTTAATGACCTCACAGGGCAGTTGTACAGATAAAATAATAATAATAGGATAAAAGCTACAAGACACTGATTTATTTGATCCTCCTCAGCTTCACAAGTTAGCCACAATGATTATCCTCCTATCATAGATGAGGACATTAAGGAAGCTTTGACCAGCTTCCTCAACAGCTGGTCAAAGACAGAGCTAGTGTTAAAACTGAGCTACCTCTAAAATGAAATCTCTCAACATCCTAGTACTATGAAACTGACTTATAAACAAGAACACATCGTTTGACAGTAGCATCCCACACTGTGGCATCTATCAATGGCCAGATGCGAGAGGTGGGAGCACATTAACATCACCCAGCTGAGGGCACCGAGGAAAGAGGACTGGCCAAATGCAGAACACTGTGGGTAAACGGAACATGGCGTTCATCATAACATTCCTTCCAATTCTGTGAATGTTTGAAATGTTCCTTAATAGAAAGCTTCCTTAAATACCAGAGTATTATTATCAGCATAAGCAGTATCACCTCTTCTTCCTCCAGAAGATGAAGCCTCCCACAGTCACAATAACCAGGGCACCAAAGATACAGCCAAAAACCGCTCCACAGATGACACCTGAGAAAAGTCCAAACGGGAGACACTTGAAGAGGTGTTCCTGCAGACCACACGATGTGCTAACAACCAGCCCGGGACCCTAACATCAGAGGGCTCAGGTGTGTATGTGGCATACACACACATGTGCAAATGCGCACACACGCGCGCGCACACACACACACACACACACACACACACACATACATACACACACAGTTAAATAGCTTTGGACTTAACACTAGTCCATACATCCTGTTCCCAATCCGTTACTACTTGGATGGTTCTGAGAAAGCTACTGTTCTTCTCCAGGTCTCAGTCTCCTCAACTGCAAATTTAGGTTTTTTCAGGGTTTTCAGGGATGTTTCCTGCCACCTCTGACTTTTTGAGACTAGCACCCACATACGAGCAGAAGTACCTACAGCAGCATCCATGCTCAGGCGACAGGAAACCCATTTTTTACCGGGTAAGAATGTGGGGACTACTCCCTAAACTTTGCTTCTGGGGCAGGGATTCTTTCCTGTATCCAACAACCACCAACTAGGAGAAAAACCAGACAAACTAACAAGCCAGTCCATTCTCCTCTGGCTTGAAGGTAGGGGATGCAGCCCTCTGGGATCCCTGAAGCTCCTGTATCACTTAGGTTTATGTGATAAAGGGTAGAAGCACTTGACAAGGGTCCAAGACCAGAATTTCAGGCCTGCCTCTAAAGCCATGGTGTAACCCTGGGCAAGTTACTTCCCCTCTCTGGGCCTTAACAGTCTTACTTCCACAAAGCGGGCAGAGAACAGTGGCTCATGCCTGTAATCCCAGAGCTCTGGAAGAAGGCGGAGGGAGGCTTAAGACCAGGAGTTCAAGACTAGCCTGGGCAACATAGCAAGACCCCATCTCTACAAAAATTTAGCCAGGCATGGTGGCACACACCTGTGGTCCCAGCAACCTGGGAGGCTGAGGCAGAAGGATCCCTTGAGCCCAGGAATTCAAGGTTACAGTGAGCTATGATCATGCCACTGTACTCTTGGGCAACAGAGTAAGACTCGGTCTCAAAAATAAAATAAATAGGCTGGTGGCTCACGTCTATAATACCAACACTTTGGGAGGCCAAAGCAGTTGATCACCTGAGGTCAGGAGTTCGAGACCAGCCTGGCCAACATAGCAAAACCCTGTCTCTACTAAAAATAAAAATAAAAATAAATAGCCGGGTGTGGTTGGTGGCACATATCTGTAATCCCAGCTACTTGGGAGACATTGCAGTGAGCCAAGATCACGACAATGCACTCCAGCCTGGGCGACAGAGTGAGACTCCATCTCAAAAAAAAAAAAAAAAATACAAAAATTAGCCCAGTGTGTGGTGGCAGGTGCCTATAATCCCAGCAACTCGGGAGGCTGAGGCAGGAGGATCCCTCGAACATAGGAGGTGAAGACTGCAGTGAGCTGAGATGGTGCCACTACACTCCAGCCTGGGTGACAAAGCAAGGCTCCGTCTCAGAAAAATAAAATAAATCAATAAATAGAATTAAAATTATGCCGTAAAATAAACAGCACTGAACAAGACAATTTCTGTGGCTTCCTCCGATGCTAGTATTTAAGGATTCAATGCACTGTGTCAAGCTGTGTGCATGGCATATGGGCACACAAGTGACCACACGGAGATAAGGGGACTGAATAACCTTTGCAGACTGGAAGGGCAACTAGTATTTAGAGAAGGGAGAGTGTGGGGTCCAGGAGATGGGGCCTGGGAGGAGGAAGCCCAGTAAGTGTGGTGACCCAGTGACATCTCAACTTCTGGGAGAGGAGAGCTGGGCACACCAACCCTCCTGAAGGTCTGAGGGAGGCATGTATGCAGCTGGCCTTCTGTGGACACTTGGAGCAAAACATCACAGAACCAACGCCAGGACTATTGTCCTCACCCTACCTGGATCCTGGGGCAAGGAAACGGCCTCTGAATAGCGACTAAAGGACACATAGCTCTCGGCCCCGTCGATGAGCCCGTTGTTTTGAGGGTGAAAGGTAATGTTGGTGAAGCCAGCCACACAAGCCCTATGGGATGACAAAGAGCAAAATGAGGTCCCTGAGACATGTCTGACCACAGGCACATAGAGCTTTAGGCTCACGAGGCTCAGCTCCCAAAGAGCAAGAATCAGAAGATGTTACCGGTAGGAGCCCAGAGGTTCCAGCTTCCCATTGTAATAGCCAAACGTGGTTGATTCATTGCCAACATCGATTTCATATTTCAAAACTTCAGACAAACTCTGGGAACGTCCCTTTTCTTCTGTCCTTATGAGGTATGTCACGTAAGTATCTGAGGCTCCCTTTTTGAAATCCTCATATGTGTATTTCAGGACATCGGCAGAAGGGTGACCAGCTAAGAAAGGCACACAGAAGGAGAATCATAAGGAAGTGATGGCAGAGAGATTTCGTCTCCTGCATATCTACGTGGTGGTGATACTGGGTCATAGTGATGCCAGCAGCCATCTCTCAAGTATCTCTCTGTGCCAGGTTTGACTTACACTGAATTCTAAGCATTTCACCTACAGCAATTCATTTCATCCCCATGATTCCCATCACAGCAGCTTATTGTCTCCACTTTACAGACAAGAAAACAAAGGTGCAAAAGGCTAACAGGACTGGGCCCAACGTCACACCGCCTATGAGCTGGAGTTGGGTTCCCAACCCAGGGGGTTGCACTCAGAGCCTGAGGTTTCATCTGATCACAGGCCAGCACTGGTCAGTCTGGCTACTATGCAACATGGCCTTCCTCAATGGGATTTGCTGACAAGCATCACAGCAAAATGACTAAGAGCTAGAAACAGATCCGAAATTAAAAGACAGAAAGAGTTCAACCTCACTTTTTGAAATTTTGCCATAGGTTATGGCACCAGCAAATTTCTACTCTCCCAGATTCCCAAGCCCCTGACAGTATGATTGGTCTCTACCCTCCTCGAAGAGATAAGGACAGCACCACAGGGGAGAGAGTGGGCAGAAAAAACACTGCATTATTCATGCATAAACAATCCCCCACAGAGGCTCACGTCTGTAGTCTAGTCGCAGCACTTTGAGAGGCCAAGGTGGGAGGATCACTTGAGCCCAGGAGTTCAAGGTGAGCCTGGGCAACATGGTGAGACTTTGTCAAAAGGAGGGGAGGGGAGGAGAGGGGAGGAGAGGGGAGGAGAGGGGAGAGGAGGGGAGGGGAGGGGAGGGGAGGGGAGGGGAGGGGAGGGGAGGGGAGGGGAGGGGAGGGGAGGGGAGGGGAAGGGAGGGGAGGGGAGAACACAGAGAGGATGGGAGGAAGAGAGGAAGAGAGGCAGGCAGATGGAAGAAAGGCAGGAAGGCCGACAGAAGAAAAAAGGAAGGAAGGAAGGAAGAGAGGGAGGGCGGGCAGGCCTACAATAAAACAAAACTCAGACTTTTAAATCTAGGCCTTATGCAAGCACTCACACACAGCTACCAAAAAGGCTCTCAAATTATTCCTTTCTTACCACAAAGGAATGTAACAGAGCCCTTTAAGGAAAAGCAGCCTTTAATCCACCTCTTCTCTCAGCTAAGGAGATATTCTACAAATTCCCACTAGCTAATGCAAATCCTTTTCTATTTTCTTTCGAAGGAAAATCATCCTTGGAGGATGGCATGTGTGTACGTGTGTATGTGTGAGTGAGGGAGACAGAGACAGAGATAGAGATAGAGTTGGTTAAAACTAATATTCTACCACCTAAAAGGCCATGTGATGTAAAAGAGAAGAAAAACCTAGATCACAGGTCAGCTAGTTATGGGCCACAAGCCAAACCCAGCCACCTGCCATGATAAATAACATCTAGTGGGAATGGCACCACTCATTCCTTATGTGTCTTCTGTGACTACTTGCAAACTACATTGGCAGAGTTGATTGCTTGCAACAGAGTCTATACCACCTGCAAAGCTTAAAATATTTGCAATCTGGCTCTTTCCAGAAAGTTTGTCAACCATCAGGCAAATAGCTCACCCTCCTTCTCTGTCTGAGTACATAGCACAGGTGGCAGTGAGAAGATAGGCATGTGTCTGTATCACTAATGTCCCTCAGTGGGCACAGAGAAAGCTCTGGTCACTTCATCACTCACCAGCTGTTTAACCCACGAAGGTCCCTCCTTACCTTCCCCGGTGGTAAGAATGACAGCATAGGCTTTGATGGGTCCGTGGCTGGCTTCAAACCCACTAAACTTGACCTTTACTGAATTGTGACTGACAGATGTAATATTAGGGGATTCATCTGGAGGAGGGGGATCTGAAACAAAACAAAACATGATCACCCAACACTGAAAACCAAAGCAGTACATTATTAGGTAGAGAACATGCTTCAGCAACTTCCTCAAGTTCTTACTCTGGAAACTACATGCTGGGCTCATGGAAAGCAGCAAATCCAGGAGCAAAAGGCAGGGAAGGAAACTGGTAAGGAGCAGGGATGGGAGACCCTGGGAAACCCACCCAGCTCACAATGACTCCTTCAGGGCATCCAGCCACATTCTCAGGGCAGGCACTCAGGAGCCTTGTTTAGTTTTGCTATGGTTGTTTTGAACAGTGCATGCTTTTATTTTTAACAGATTGATTGAAATATAACTAGACTACAACCAAAGAGATGAAAGACTTGTACAGTGAAAACCACAAAACACTGATAAAATAAATTAAAGACACTAATATACAAATACTTGCAAAGACATCCCATGCTCATGGATTGGAAGTCTTGATATTGTTGGAAGAATTCATACTACTCAAATCATCTACAAATTCAATGCTACCCCATCAAAATCCCAATGGCATTTTTCACAGAATATAGAAAACAATCCTAAAGTTCATATGGAACAGTGAAAGACCAGAAACAGCCAAAGGAGTCTTGAAAAAGAATAAGGCTGGAGGACTCGCACTTCCTGATTTCAAGACATATTTATTACAAAGCTGCAGTAATTAAAACAGTATGTTACAGGCATAAAGACAGACATCAACCCATAAAACAGAATACTGAGCCCAGAATTAAACTCTCATATACACAGTCAACTTATCTTCAACAAGGGTGCCAAGAAGACACAATGGGGAAAAGACAGCCTCTTCCACAAATGGTGCTGGGAAAACTGGATATCCATGAGCAGAATAATAAACTGGACCCCTCTCTTACACCAGACACAAAAATAGACTCTGAACAGGTTCAAGACTTAAACATTAGACCTAAAGCTGTACACTGTAAAATTTGTTTAAAAAAAAAAAAACACCACATCAGGGAAGAGCTTTTTGACATGGTATTTACAATGGTTGCTTGGATACCACACAAAAAGCACAGCAACAAAAGCAAAAATAGACAAACAGGATTAAATCAAACTGAAAAGGTTTTGCAGAGTTAAAGAAACCATCATTTGAGTAAGAAGGTAGTATCTTTGCATGGGGAAGATAGCCTGCCCTTGTCTTCTTCCCCAGTCTCTTCTGACTCAAGATGAGCCAGGTTCGTTATCCTGAGATCTGGGGTGGAAGAGGAGAGTGAGAAAGAGACTGTGCAGTGGAACTCTAAGTGTGGCCTTGGGAGCTGCATGGTGACACCACACGCTAACACCACTTGGCCCCAGGATCAGCTGGTTGGCTGAGAGCAAAGACAGAGCAGATGTCCAAGGAGAAGAATCAAAGATGAGGTGGGAGAGAACACATTTTCTACTGAGACCTGGCCACAGCACTGCTCCGTGTTCTTCATAAACAGTGCCCACATTTTTCCCAGAGTTGGTCTAAAAGATCACCTAGAGAAACCCAACAGATCCTCTTCCCAGAAACCAGAAAAGCCCCCACAGGACACTCCACAATGGCCTCCATGATTCTGCACCCTCCTTTTGCAAGCCAGGGTGCAGAGCCACTGTCTGAACTAACATGAAAGAAAGAAGACACTGAATTAAAGATGATCCACTCTACACACTCACTATCTATCTAAATTCATCTCACACATACAGTTTGGGTTGTTCTCATCATTTTTTCTTATTTTAAAAAAATAAATGAGATGGGATCTCACTATGTTGCCCAGGCTGGTTTCCTGGCCTCAAGCAATCCTCCCACCCGGGCCTCCCAAAGTGCTGGGATTACAGGCATGAACCACCACACCCAGGCTGTTCTTGTTATTATGTATATATTCAAGATTCAAGAAGACAGAAATCCAGACTCCAAACCACAACACAATTGTCTAAACCTGGGCGGATACCGCAGCCCCTACCCAGCCATACTCAGCGGCCGAGCCCCTGAGATGTGACCAGTTTGCATTCAGATGTACTACAAGCATATAACACAGACCAGATAGCAAAGACTCAGTACAAAAGAAGATGTAAAATTGCTCATTGATACTTTATAGAAATTACATGTTGAAATCATACTTTTAATATCCTGAGTTAAATCAAATGTTATTAATTTCAGCTATTCCTTTTTACTTTTTTTTTTAAGTTTTCCTAGAAAACTTTAAATTATATGTGAGGCTCACATTGCACATCTAGTGCCTGGTCCTGCTCTAAACTACAAGCTTCACAACCTCACAAGTGCCTGACAGCACAGGCTCTTGCATTTCCCAGCAGCTCTATGCCTTATAGCTGGCCAGAGAGGGTCAGTCCCCAGGTCCTTGCCCCAAAACTGGCAGCTGATGCTAGCTCACCCACCACCAGACCTGGAAATCCTCTCCCTCTCACTACTCTTCTCAGTCACATGCTCCAGGGGCCCTGTCACCCCTACTCACCATAGTGCCCCTCACCACAGCACACAGTAAGCCACCAACAGATGTGGGCTAAGAGATGGCTGGTGCGGTGGCTCATGTGGATAATCCCAACACTTTGAGGCCAAAGCAGGTGGATCACTTGAGGTCAGGAGTTCCAGACCAGCCTGGCCAACATGGTGAAACCTCATCTCTACTAAAAATACAAAAATTAGCCAGGTGTGATGACATGCATCTATAGTCCTTGCTACTCAGGAGGCTGAGGAACGAGAACCACTTGAACCCAGGAAGCAGCAGCCGCAGTGAGCTGAGGTCACGCCACTGCACTCCAGCCTGGGCGACAAGAGCAAGACTCCATCTCAAAAAAAAATACAAAAGAAAATATGGCACTGAGTTACACTGTAAGGAAAAGGAACTTTTTAGAATGTAAAGAATGAGTCTCTCTTATTCTGCTTTTTAGATTGATTTCTATACAATGAGAAACCAATCTATGCCAGTAAAAGCCAATATTTTAGGGGAAATAAAAAAAAAACAGACTTGTAGTCCACACTTGCAGACCCACTGGGTCAGTCTCTCCAGGAGTGACCACAGTGCCATCTGACCAGTGCCTGCCTTGCCGCCCACCTGTGATGCCAGTGGTGCAGGTGTTCTGGGTGGGGGCTGCCATCTTTCCACAGGACACGGTGGTAATGCTGATGTTATAGGAGGTAGAGAAATTCAAATACATGACTTCCGTCCTGTACTCAGTGTCATTGTCAGAGGAGCAGCTCTCCAGCTGGGTCGCATTGTCCCAGGCTCCACTGCTGACTTCCAGCTCAAAGCCTGCATTGGCACCAGGAGGGCAAGTCCATCTGAGAACCAGGGCTGGCTCTTTGGGGACCACTTCGCAGTCGAAGGAGGCCACAGATGCCGGATCTGCAAAGCAAGCACAGCACAGCATGAGATTCCAGGACTTTTGCCTTTGCGAACACAGAAATAGGGAATAGCAGAATCCTGGCGATGAGGAGGTGGTGGGTGATATGGCGCAGGGCTGACCCTGAATTGGGCAACACCAAACTGTGTGACCGTGGGTCAGTCACCAAAGTGCTCTGAGTCTCAGCTGCAGGACTCTGAGAACTGAATTAACAATGGTGTCAGGCACCAAGCAAGATGTCTGTAAGAGACCAGGGCTGCATGAGAGGCACCACATGATCCTGTGAGAGGCAGCAACCTCGTGTGCACCATCTCATCATGAGGCCCTCCTGATGCTCCTTCTGAGACAGGTGAGGCCCATACTGTCCCATCTGCAGGTAAATCCACCGAGGCTCAGAGAGGTGAAGTCACTGGCCAATGACATGGCAGGTGGTGAAGCCAAAACCAGTCTCCAGGTTTTCTAAGTCCAAGTTCAAGACACTCTACTCACATAACATAACTGTATCATCAGTGATAAATGGTATCGGTTTCCTCATCTTCAAAATGGAATATTTGTCTCTATCTATCTGAAGACCAAAAGATTTTTGTTGAGGACTAACATCAAACTGACGTAAATGGAAAGTTCCATATTAAAACTGGGGGCGAGTATTACTATTAATCGAATGTCATAGAAGTTTAGAGCAGGAGAAGCTCTACGAGGGCACCTAGTGAAACTCCCACATTCTCCACCCAAGGCCTGGAAAGGTAACCTGAACACTACACCTACTTTTTTTTTGAGATGGAATCTTGCTCTGTTGCCCAGGCTGGAGTGCTGTGGCATGATCTCAGCTCACTGCAACCTCCACTTCCCAGGTTCAAGCAATTCTCTGCCTCAGCCTCCTGAGTACCTGGGATTACAGGTGCCCACCACCATGCCTGGCTAATTTTTGTATTTTTAGTAGAGGCAGGATTTCACCGTCTTGGCCAGGCTGGTCTTGAACTCCTGACCACCCGCCTCAGCCTCCCAGAATGCTGGGATTACAGGCGTGAGCCACCACACCCAGTCTGCACCTATTTTTACAGCTCCTGTTCCACTCACACCTAGTCATAAATGCTTGGATGCAGATTTTCTCTCGCTATAGGCTACAAATAACGAAATCTAAGATAAATACCAGCAATGGAAGCCACCCAAATATCAAAGATGGGTGTCTAGACCAGGTGGGATGCAGCAGAGGTGACCCAAAGCTGTAGGGATTTCTGTGGCCACCCCACTGACTACTGAAAGGCCAGAGGCCATCAAGGCCGGAGCTCCTACACTACCAAGAAGGCTGATCCCATGAGACCGCCACTTCCAAATCAGCCTGAACATATGTGAATGGCCTGGGATAAAAAAGGAAGAGATAGGAGCGAGGTGGGCAGAAAATGAGTGCCCCACAGGTACTGAGTGATAAAGGTGCCACAGTCAGCACTGTAAGCAGAAGTGCCCACCACAGTCTGCAAAGCCTTCCCTGGGCTGTCCCAAATGCATCCTCAATGACACACAGGGCTCTTTTCTTTATCACACATTTGGAGTTGTGAGATAGGTGAGGATCAAGAAGGATGCAAAGGCTGAGCATCATTTCAACAACAACCTTTCCGTCTTCCCCAGTGCAAAAGACAAACCAAAACCTGCAAAGCCAGACATCACCCACATCCTGGCCCAGCCCCACTCAGGCCCTGCCTCCCACCTACACCCTCCTGTTCCCATGGGTCCACTCCTCCCACGCTTACCTCCTGCTCTTCCTCCAGCCTCCAGGACATGGTGGTGATGCTGCACAGGCCTCTGCCTATAATGCTCTCATGCCCTGATATCCACATGGCTGCTCCTTCCCTTCATTCAGATCTTTGCTCAAAAGTCACCTTATCATTGAGGCCTTTCCTGAGCACCCTAAATAAACATCCCACTTCCTCCTTCTAAAATAAAAGTTCCAAGAAGGCAAGGACTTGACTGTCTGGCATGTAGTATATGCTCAATAAATATTTATTGACTGCAGAAGTGATGAGGGCACCGAGACAGCACCAATAAGCTAACGGGATGCCTCGGAAAGCTCAACATCCATCACTGCACATCACAAAAACCAAACAAACTACAGACTGTGGAGGACCGACCTGCAAAGTCAGCACCACTCAGGGAGGAGTCCAAGAGGCAGAGCGCTACGCTCACCTGTACAGAATGACTTCCTGCCAGGTTCCAGTGACTCCATCACGCCCCCTACTCGAGCAAAGATCTCCACTGTGTATGATGAACCAGGCGTTAATTCAGTGACTGTGGCTTCAGTCATTCCAACGTCCGTGACTAGTGTTTCGTTGCTGGCATCTCCAAACTTCACAATAAGAAGGCGGTAGGAGTATGTGGGAGAGGCGCCATCAAGGTTCTGCCAACGTAAAGTCGCTGCTGTGGTGTTGGTGCTTACGTCAATGTTGGACACATTGCTGGGCCCTTGATTTTTTTAAAAAAAAAAAGAGGAAATTCATGTAAAAGCACAGATTAGCTAGAATTCCAGGACGATTTTATTTACTACACCCAAAAATAGACTGGCTCGTTTTAGAAAGAATGAATAAAGCTAGTATTTGCTGGCTCAAAAGATTGAAAACTGCGCAAAAACACATGAAGAAAATAATTATACAGATTAAATCTCCAAAGAAGTTTAATTTACACTTCTTTTAATATTTCAAATTTATTTCAAATATATTTTTAACATAAAATTTCTAATCTGGTTTTTTTTTTTTTTTTGGTTTTTTTTTGAGACGGAGTTTCGCATCCGGCCTTCTAATCTGTTTTTTAAATCTAATAGATGAGGCCAGGCACAGTGACTCACGCCTGTAATCCCAGCACTTTGGGAGGCTGAGGTGGGCAGATCACCTGAGGTCAGGAGTTCAAAACCAGCCTGACCAACATGGAGAAACTCCATCTCTACTAAAAAAAAATACAAAAATTAACCAGGCATGATGGCGCATGCCTGTAATCCCAGCTACTTGGGAGATGGTGTTGCAGTGAGTCAAGATTGCACCATTGCACTCCAGCCTGGGCAACGAGAGCAAAGCTCCATCTAAAAAAATCAATAAATAAACAAAAAATAAATCTAATAGATAAAAGAGAAAATATACTAAAAGCATATTCCAGACTAACATCTTCACCATGTATTTAATTCAGATATTAGCAAAACACCTCCCTCATTGTTGCAGGCAAAGCTTCTCATCTGGGCAGTATCTGCCAATGCCAACATGACAAGGTGACCCTTCTTTACTCTGTATCCTCTAGGAATGACAAGCACATTCCTAAGGAATCACTTCCTGCTTCTAATGACAATTCTAAATTCACATGGCTTGAAGACCAGTGCCTCATAGGGACAGCAGAATCATTGCTAAGACCAGTGTTTTCAACTTCAGCAGTTTCAGGGTCAACCTGGATCCTAGAAGCACACTGGCCATCATGTCACCAGTGCTTCCTCCAAGAGATGGTCAGAGAGGCTGCTCCTTAGAAGGGCTTACTGTTCCTAAGAGACTTACGTGTGTACCGTGCAATGGAGGTGGAGTGTCCCCGGACGTGCTCCACTTCTGGAAAGATGGTGATGTTATATAAGGTGCCCGGGATCAGGCCCTGGAGAGTGACCGTTTTGTCAGACGTGTTTGTGGGGTTAGAGCCATGCTGGGGCTCTATGACTAAATGGTAGACATACTCAGAAGCATTGTCTGGGTTCTGCCACTCCAGCTCCATCTCCGTGGTGGTGACGTCGACCACGCGGATGTCAGACACTGCGCTGGGAGCTGCTCAGAAGAAAGAAAGAAGGGAAACCAGTTACTGACTATCATGAGCCTAGCTTCGTCTCCAAGTGCTGGCAAGAGAACCTGCTCTTTTGCCATCAGACTTTAAAATGAGTTCACAAAAGGCACACTCCAAAATCTAGCTGAGAAATGCACACACTCAGTGCTCTCAAGAATTTTAGCTCTTCTACGACGCAGACGAACTTGCTTGTTCATCTTACCAGTTCTCCAGTTTTTTGTTTTTGTCATAAAAATGAGCTGCTAGGCCGGGTGCAGTGGCTCACACCTGTGATTCCATCACTTTGAGAGGCCAAGGTGGGTGGATCACTTGAGGTCAAAAGTGTGAGACCCGTCTCTACTAAAAATACAAAAGTTAGCTGGGCGTGGTAATGCACACCTGTAATCCCAGCTACTTGGGAGGCTGAGGCACGAGAATCACTTGAACCACAAAGGCAGAGGTTGCAGTGAGCCAAGATCATACCACTGCACTCCAGCCTGGGCAACAGAGCTAGACTCCGTCTCAAAAAAAAAAAAAAAAAAAAAAGCTCTTCAAGGGGGTCTTCTGAAGTGGAAATCACATTCAGTTTCTTGATCTGAGTGCTGGTAATGAGATGTGTTCAGTTTGTAAAAGTTCACGAAGCTACGCACTGAGGATACGTCCCTTTTTAGTATGCATATTGTATCTCAATAAAGAGGTTTCTTTTGTTTTTTTAATCCTTCACTCAGAAGGAAACATCTTCCCATGACACAGCCTGACATGCCGAAGAGGAAAACTGAAATGGTGAGCTGACCTTTCCTAAGGTGAAGCATTTGAGGACAGGTGAGGAGGGGAAGAAAACAGGCACCCTCTGCCCTCAGACCAATCAGAAGTGGGGTCCCCACAGGGGCCCGCCCTCCGATCCTCCCCCACGCTGCACACTCAGCCATGGCACCATGGATGCCTCCATCAAGGCTAGGAAGTAACAGCAGAGGCAGGGCCTCTTTTCTCCTGTGGCTTTGAACCCCGTCTCTCTTCACCTGGCAGTGAAGGTCAGCTCCAGGGAGAGGAAATGCGCAGGTTGGGGACAAAAAAGGGAAATGCTTTCACTGCAAACACCTTGGCTTTAAAAAAAAAAAATGTGCCATGTACATGTACTGTCTACTCCAAAATTAATTTTTTTTAAAAAAAATTTTTAGCCGGGCGCGGTGGCTCAAGCCTGTAATCCCAGCACTTTGGGAGGCCGAGGCGGGTGGATCACGAGGTCGAGAGATTGAGACCATCCTGGTCAACATAGTGAAACCCCGTCTCTACTAAAAATACAAAAAACTAGCTGGGCAGTGGTGGCACGTGCCTGTAATCCCAGCTACTTAGGAGGCTGAGGCAGGAGAATGGCCTGAGCCCAGGAGGCGGAGGTTGCGGTGAGCCGAGATCGCGCCATTGCACTCCAGCCTGGGTAACAAGAGTGAAACTCCGTCTCAAAAAAAAAAAAAAATTTTTTTAATGGGTTCTTAAAGAGAAGCCGCCAGGAGGAGCCTTTGTTTCCTACTAGAAGATTCCTGATGTCAAAGAGATTCCACAGACAAAAGACCATCAAAGACAGTGTTTGCCTATAAACATAAAAAACAGCCAGGCACAGTGGCTCACGCCTGTAATCCCAACACTCTGGAAGGCCGAGGCAGGCAGATCATGAGGTCAGGAGATCGAGACCATCCTGGCCAACATGGTGAAACCCCGTCTCTACTAACAATACAAAAATTAGCCGGGCATGGTGGCACACACCTGTAATCCCAGCTATTCAGGAGGCTAAGGCAGGAGAATTGCTTGAATCAAGGAGTTGGAGGTTGCAGTGAGCCGAGATGACACCACTACACTCCAGCCTGGGCAACAGAGTGAGACTCCTTCTCCAAAAAATAAGTAAATAAATAAATAAATAAATCTAAAAAAACTAGAAACAACCTATATCTTCAATAACATGGGAGGGCTGTGGGCATTGTGATCTGGCGGCATGATGAAACAGTCTGCAGCCACTAAAAACATGAAGACCACACTAACTATGGGGGGAAGTGGTGGTATAGACTGAGTAAAAAAAGATTCCAATACAAAATAAAAGTATTTGTGTAACAATCACAACAATGCAAGCAAAATGTATGACTGTGGACACAGAGAGAAAAGGCATTCAGCTGGGTTAGAAGAGTGGAGAGATTTGTTTCTTTTCCTTTTTATTGCGGTAAAACAGACATACCATAATATTCGTCATCTTAACCATGTGTCAGTGTACAGTTCAGTGGTATCAACATTTACAGTGTTGTGTAACCATCGCCACTATCTGTACCCAAAACACTGTCATCATCCCCAGCATAAACTGTAGCCATCAAACAATAATGCCCACTCCCTCTTCTGCACTGCCCCCGGTAACCTCTATTCTACTTTCTGTAGAATATGAGGTTGTCTAATCTAGATACTTATGTAAGTGCAATCATACAGTATTTGTCTTTCTGTATCTGGCTTATTTCACTTAGTATAATGTCCTCAAGATCTATCCATGTTGTACCATAAATCAAAATTTATTTTTTATGGCTGAATAATATTCTGTTGCATGGATGTTCCACGTTTTGTCTATCCGTTCATTTGTTGATGGGCTCTTGGGTCCACCTTTGGGCTCCTGTGAACAGTGCTACCACTATGAACATGGGTGTACAAGTAACTTCAAGGCGCTGCTTTGGATTCTTTTGGAGATATACATAGGACTGGAATTACTGGATCATACGGTATTCATTTTTTTCGAAGTTGCTTTTAATGCTATTAAGCTGACATTTTCAAATAATAAAGGTTATTCGATAATATAAAGGTAACTCCTAAGAGTTTAGATCTTATTATAGGCCTTCTTGACTTTCATTCAATGGGACCACTGAATGAAATGGGTCCTTTCAGACAATGGAATTCCAGGCAGATGCTAAAATTACCCTGCAGAAATATTGATATGAAGAGGAAAGAATATTCATAGTAAACTATAGTAAAACAGATACCTTCTCCTCACTAATACTAAACTTTACTGCTGTACCACATCGAAGTGTCAGTCTACATGGTGGTTGAGTGCTTGGCCTTAGACACCAGACACAGGTCAGTTTGCCACCTTGTCGCTCTGGGCCAGTTACTTAAGTTCACAGAGCCTCCGTTTCCTACCCTGTAAGACAGAGATGATAATACCTACTGCATGAAGTTGTGTTAAAAATGTAAAATACAGTATGAGAGCACTCTGCGTCTTGCAGACCCCCAACATATTATATTATTGTTACAGTAGGTTCTGGGCAATAGCAAGTAGCGTAATATCATCTATCCCCCACAGTGGTGATCCTCTTACCATTATCCACATCCTTAAAGACAGAAGAAATATGTTAATGTTAAGCCTCACGTCAACAGTTTAAAATGCAGACTTGCAAAGGGAATACTGCATTTCAACTGGGGGATGCCTTTTAGCAGATCCCTTAACTTTGAAACAGATCCTCTGAGTGACTATCAGTGCTTAACCCAACCAGCACAGTTGAAGAAGCTTCCAGAAGGAGAATCTCAAAAGCCTAACTAAGGCCAGGTGCGGTGGCTGACGCCTGTAATCCCAGCATTTTGAGAGGCCGAGGTAGGCAGATCACGCTGAGATTAGGAGTTCAAGACCAGCCTGGCCAACACCCTATCTCTACTAAAACCATAAAACTTAGCCAGGCATGGTAGCACATAACTGTAATCCTAGCTACTTGGGAGGCTGAGGCAGAAGAATCGCTTGAACCCAAGAAGTGGAGGTTGCAGTGAGCTGAGATTGCACCACTGCATTCCAGCCTGTGCAAAAGAGCAAGACTCCGTCTCAAAAAAAAAAAAAAAAAAAAAAAAAAAAAAAAAAACCTAACTAATTTCATGTGTGATTCAAGGAATCTGTCCATTTCTTTATTCTACCCTCTGTATAACGGATTTCAACTATCTTGAATCAAAGACCAAGGAAGACTGTATGTTTTTCAGCCTTTCCCAACACAAATTATTCCAAATTTTGTAAAAAATAATAATGAACATTACTCTCTAGGATTTCCCAAAAGTTTCTCCTATAGTTTATTTAAACTGTTTCTATTAAAAAAAAATTTTTTTTAGACAGGGTCTCCCAGGCTGACGCTGGTCTGCAATTCCTGGGTCAAGCAATCTTCCTACCGCGGTCTCTCGAGTATCTGGCACGATGCGTGCAGGCCACCATAGCTGACAATACAATTACTTTAGCAATTTCAATTAGCCTTCTAGAACTAGCACACTGTTGTATCACAGTGTTGTTTATGGATGACTGTAAACAGTCCACCTGCCCAACACAGCCCCGTAGTTCATTTCTAACACATCTTGACCAGAGGTTCTTAAACTTTTTGCTCTTAAAAGTTATTAAGGCTCTAATCGGCATTAGATAATTTACCAACTGAAAAAAAAAGTTACTAAGGGTCTCAGAGAATTTGTATTTACATAGGTTATATTTGTCAATATTTACTATATTAGGGATTTAAAATGAAGAAATTATTAAGATATAAGAATCCACAGCATACATTCCATTAGCGCTCAGAGAGACAACGTCATCCCATATCGGATCAAAGCTGGAAAACTCCAAAAGAGAATGAAGTAAAAAAGCCAAATAGCATTTTAGTATTGTTATGATAATACTACCTTGGAGACCCCTTGAAAGAACCTAGGGATCCCTAGAGAGCCCTGAACCACAATTTGAGAACCACTGATCTAGCCCAGGGGTCAGCAAACATTCTCTGTAATGGCCAGAAAATAAATCTCAGGCTTCACAAGCCACACATTCTCTGTTGCCACTACTCAATTCTAGCACCAAAGTAGCCATAGACAGTACATAAGCAAATGAACATGGTTGTGATCCAATAAAACTTTATTTACAAAAACAGACAGTGAGCCAAATTTGGCACAGGGGCCATTATTATCTGCCAACTCTGTTTCAGACAATAGAATTCCACACAGGTGTTCAAATCATCCTGTAGAAATATTAAGAGGAAAGAATATTCATAATAAATTAGCAAGTTGGGGAAAAAGCAGATTACAAAACCACATGTACAGGATGGCCTCGATGTTTGTAAAAGAAATAAATATATATTTGTGGGCTGGGTGCAGTGGCACACACCTGTAATCCCAGCACTTTGGGAGGCTGAGGTGGGCAGATCGATCACTTGATATCAGGGGATCAAGACTAGCCTGGCCAACACGGCAAAACTCTGTCTCTACTAAAAGTATAAAAATTAACCAGGCATGGTGGCACACAACTTAATTCCAGCTACTCAGGAGGCTGAGGCACAAGAATTGCTGGAACCCAGGAGGTGGAGGTTGCAGTGAGCCAAGATCGCGCCACTGCACTCCAGCCTGGGTGACAGGGTAGGACTGTCTCAAAATATACTTAATCAGGAGATCAAGACCAGCCTAGCCAAAATGGCAAAACCCCGTCTCTACTAAAAGTATAAAAATTATCCAGGCATGGTGGCACACACCTGTAATTCCAGCTACTTATACTCACACATATATTTGGGTATCTATATGTATATGTTTAAAAATTGTAAAATATCATACATCCAAAATGATTATCTCTGCTTGATGGTTTCCATATAAGTTTTTTCTACTTACCTGTCTATATTTCATATAAGAAATAAGCATTAGTGTTATCAAAATTTGTAAAGGTTTTTCTTAGATAATTAAAAGAAAAGCAATATCTGGAAACATTATTATGCTGATTTCCATTAAGAAACATGACGGTTTAACAGAAAAGCCGGTTTGCTTACCAGTTCTACTGCAAACGGTCTGAGATGCCCCTTTGGTCCCATTTGGTCCTTGTGGAAATATTTCAAAGCAATACTTGGTTCCGGGGAGCAAGCCACCAATGGTAATACTTTGGTTGGTGGTTGTTTTTACCCAAGACTTGCCAGCTCCCTCCAGAGTGATACACATCTTAAAGGATTCTGCGTCACTGCCGCTCCATGCTAAGCTGATCTCCCTCGTGCTGACCATTGTCACTCGGAAGTCGGAAACTGGAGCAGGGGCTGTGCAAAGAAAGTAAACAACTAGGTTAAAAATATATTTCTCCAGAAGACAGGGATGCCCACCTCAGAAAATATTTACACCAAGACAAAACGTACATTTAGGACACCTGATCCCTCTCTTTGTCTCATCTCACCTACAAGCCCCTCACAAACTGCTGTTTCTCGCCATGGAGGAAGCACTTGAACATGAGGGTGCAGAAGCTCATGACTGCACGCGGCCATTCATAGGAAATGAGAGCAGGTGTGAGCTCCTGTGGTCAAGGGCGCGGCTCTGGAGCAGAACCCTGGCCACACTGGCCGCTTTATCTTGAATGCATTACTAGCCTCCCAGAGCCTCTGTTCAGGGAGGTACCGATAGCAGAGGCTACTCTTGACCCCCAAAATCCATTCTTCATTTTCCCTTCATCACGCTCCCAGAATTCCAGCCCTGTGTGTGCATGGCTGTGGGGAACAAAGACCACATTTCCCAGCCTCCATGCAGCTAGATGTTGCATGCGACTAAGTTTTGGTTAACAGAGTGCGAGCAGAGGTACTGGGTGACTTCTAGAAGTGTCCTTAAAGGGTGGAGCTCACTTGCACCCGGGAGGCAGAGGTTGCAGGGAGCCGAAATCACGCCACCACACTCCAGCCTGGGTGACACAGGGAGATCCTGTTTCAAAATTTAAAAAAAGGACAACCCTGTGAAGACGCAGGGAGAAGACCAGAAGAAACCACACCTGCCGTTGCTTTGATCTTTAACCTTCAGCATCCAGAACTACGAGAAAGTGTCTGTTTCTATTGTTTAAGCCACGCAGCCTGTGACACTTGCTCTGGTAGCCCAGCAAACTAATACAGCAGCTCTTCCAATGACTCTGTGAAACCTCGATTCCCAGGATAAATCCCTTCTGGTTAAAATAGCTCACAGTTTCTGTTTCGTGCCACTGAGCCCTAGATAACCTCTACTGTCCCCATCCTGCCTAGCACTGGGCCTCCGTTACAGGAGAGAGAAATAAACCCCTGTCTTGCTTAAGCCATGGATACTTGGGCTTTTTTCGTTGCTGTTCTCAGTGGTGTTATTCATGACTGAACCTAATCCTAACAGATTAAACAGTAAAAGGTAAAGAAATGAAAGCATATTTCCTTTTCCCAAAGAGCCGGTCCAAAACACATCTGTAAGAATGCTAAAGCGTGCTTCCTGGGAAGAAATGGACATTCTATGGGATAAGCCCTGGGTCCAGAGCCACACACCCCTGGATTCAAGGCCTACTCTGTTACTCACCAGCTCTGTGGCCTTGGGCAAACTGTTCAGCCATAGGGCTGTAGTTTCCTCACCTGTAAAAGGGAACCCCAATACCTACCACGGAGACCACTGCCCTATGTATAAAGCTCCTGGAACAGTACAAAATGCAGTGCTAGTGTCAATACTATTGTTTAATAGTATATAATCAATATTATACCACCATACTACCAGTACATTATTAGACCTTCTTTGGAACCAAAAGCCTTTTATTTGCTGCATGAAATCTTATTTTTAAGGGACATTTAAGCAAACAAAGATAAGATGCAGCTGTGCTAGCGATTATGATAATGTCAGCACCCAAAAGACAAGGGGATATGAATATCCAGGTCAATTCTGCCTCCCTGTATCATTCATTCTAGGTCTCTTCTCCACTGGAAAGAGTTGTAATTGCAGGCTCCAGGTGAGAAATACCAGAGGTTTTCATCTCACCTCTGCCACTTTCCAGCTGTGACGCCTGCCTAGCACCTCTCTCAGCCTTGGCTTCCCAACTATAAAATAAGGCTGCTGCCAACCATGTCACAGGCCTGTTGTGAGCATACAATGAGCCAGTGCAAGGAAAGCATGTCACACGAAGCTCGGCGTGCGGTCAGCCGACAGTCACCATTATTACATCACACGGCCTGCATCTGGGCCTGGCACACAGCAGGACAGCAGGAAAGGGGAAGAAAAGCCACGCATGAACTCACGGGTGTACACTTGGAGGAAGCCCGGTGTGCCCTGGGTGCCACCCAGGAAAGGACACACTGTGATGTTGTAGAAGGTGCTGGAGCAGAGGCCTGAGATGGTGGCGTGAGGCTCGCTGACGGTGACATTGAAGGAATGCATCTCCCCCACCACGTCTATCTTGTAGGTATAGACAGAGGACGGGTCGCTATCATTGATTTTCCAGGTCAGGGTCAGGGTTGTGGCACTGATGTTCACAACAGTGACGTCAAAAACCTGAGGAGCATCTGTGAGAACACAAGGGAGTTAAAAATAACCAGAACGGCCAAGGCAGAGAGAGGCAGAGAGAGGGAGAAGTCACCAGGGCATGCTGTCCAGCCAGGACACTGCCCTAGGAACTGTTCCTTCCTCCACACCATCAGCCACGGCTAGGAAAGCATGAGGGTCCCGGCCAAAGTCAGGCATCGCCAGGCAGTGAAGAAACAACCTCGCCATTGGGACCTGCAGGGTCACTCTTTGTTCCTTTAAGTTGACTTTAGAGATTTGACCCAAATGATTTCATTCTTGCATCATTTGTGTTTAACAACTTTTCTGGGTTGTCAAACACAAATGATGCAAGAGCAAACGCTGTGATCTGCGTGACCGCCTGAGATCACAGAAGTCCGGACGAGGCAGATCTGGGTTCCAGGCCTCACTCTGCTGTGACAGCCAGGTCGGCCGTGGGAAAACCACTTGAGCTCAGCTTCCTCATCTATAAAACCAGGAGAGTGATCCTAACCTCAAGAAAATGTAAACCGAGTGCCAGTTACTGGCCACCTGCCCACTCCACCCTCCCAACGAATCCCTTGCCCTTCCCTTGCCTGCTCTGTGCTCAGGAGGCTGATCCTGCGCAAGGGGTCACCAGGGGTCTTGCTACAGGGGCTGTGACCAGGTTCCACCATAAGCCAATGGGCAGGCCCCTGGGGGGCCACAGGAGAAAGGAGTCGGTGCCTCCTCCATCACCTCCTGCTCTGGGCCTCCTGTCCTCCACTGCCCCAGCTTTCACTGGGCTCCAGAAACACCCTGTCCTCCCCAGCCCTTCAGCCCTAGAGGTGGCTTTCTGCAGTGGGATAGTCTGGGGGCCTCAACAATGTCGTCTGATGCTTTCCTTAACGCTGCCCCACCTAACTAGCCACTTAAAAAGTGGGTGGGTGGAAATGTGTGTTTATCTGTGTTTGTGTCTGTGTGTATGTCTGTGTGTGTCTCTGTGTATGTCTGTGTCTCTGTGTATGTCTGTGTGTCTGTGTGTGTACGTGTGCATGTGCGTGTGTGTGTGTGTCTGTGTATTGCAACAGACAATGTTTCTGTCCCCATAAAATTCCTGCTGAAATCCTAACCCCCAATGTGATGGTTTTAGGACGTGGGGCTTTTGGAAGGTAATTAGGTCATGAATTTAGGTCATGAATTACCTCCCTCCTGAATGGGATTAGTGCCCTTATCAAAGAGCTGGAGAAAGACCCCTCCCTCACCCCTTCAACCATGTGAAGACCCAGGGAGTCTACAACCCAGAAGAAGAAGAGGGCCTGTACCCAGAGCCCCGCGACGCTGCACCCCAGTCTCAGACGTCCAGCCTCCAGAACCCTGAGAAATAAACGTTCATTGTTTACACTATCTAGCGCACGGTCATTTGTTCCAGCAGCCCAAACTGACTAAGACATATTTATACACAAACACACACTCGTCCCTTATAGAGAGGGAAAGGCTACTATCCTAATTATTTACCAAGCATTAAGTTCAGCGCAAACTAGGATGTGTGTGAATTCACACCACCCAGAGCCTGAGATGCAATCACTACTACTTTGCTTTTGCTCAAACTGCTTTAAAAAGCAGGGGCCCCAGGCCCACACAAATCCACGGGTCCTTTTAGCAAATCAGTTAAAGGATCCTTCCCCTGGCTGGACCCAGCCCTGGGTGCACGGCTTGGTGCAGGACACACAGGCTAGATTTCAGCCCCTTTCACTCTCACACAAGCTTACCATTGCAGGACACCCCACCCCTGCCAATGGCACCCATGGAGGAGCCCTTTCATCCCCCTCCATCCTCACCCTGTGGAATCCAAGCCCTCCTCACCCGAGAGCCTCCCGCTTGCCACTCCTGCCAGGTCACTGCCAGCCCCATGAGGTCAAGTGGCCTCTCCTACAGCCACATCCTCCCCACCCTACCCCCACGTTAGCAAAACCAGTACAAGGGGAAGAAAGGACACCAATGGACCCTCCCTCGACGTGGATACCAGGAAAAGCTGTCATTCCTCACAGACACCGCTTCTCACCACCGTCTCACCAAAACTTCTAGCTCTATACAGGTAACACAGCCTGGCCAGTAACGGCCTCTAAGTATTCCCAAACATGTTCCCCTCCCGCTCTTTTCACCAAAGCCTCCAGATAGTTGGTGAACTTATAGAGTGGAAGTGCTGATACATTATAGTGAGGAAGCAGGAATGTGCTTGTCAACGAGCGTTTCCATAGAAAGGCTGGTATGAATTACAAGGGCAGGCGAGAAACTCAGTTTCTTAACTCAAAGTGGTGGTGGTGGTGGGGGGGGGCGGAAATAAGCAATGATTAGCTGTTTTTAAGAGGAAAGTATGTCAGGCGCAGTGGCTCATGCCTGTAATCTCAGCACTTTGGGAGGCCAAGGCGGGTGGATCACCTGAGGGCAGGAGTTCAAGACCAGCCTGACCAACATGGAGAAATCCCAACTATACTAAAAATATAAAATAAGCCGGGCGTGGCAGCGGGTGCCTGTGATCCCAGCTACTCGAAAGGCTGAGGCAGGAGCATCACTTGAACCTGGGAGGCGGAGGTTGCGGTGAGCCAAGATCATGCCATTGCACTCCAGCCTGGGCAACAAGAGGGAAACTCTGTCTCAAAAAAAAAGAAAAAGAGGAAAGTATTATGCCAGTTTGTCTCATCAGCCGCCATGCAGCATTGTGAAAGACAGTGTGAGGCAGTGCCCAGAGGCTGCTCCGTGTTTTTCATTGCACTTAACGAGAGATGTGCACGGTCCGTGGAGTTCAGAAGAAACTGACCAGATCTGCTCTGTCCAAAATCTCCTCCAGGAAGCTCCCTCTGACAACAAAACTTGTTGTTATGCAAGAAATAACTCAGAATCGGAATCAACGGAGACAGAACACTGTGCTAGGAAACTCTGGCTGCCATCATTTTACGAAGTTCAACCTACATGTCCTGAACTCTTTGGTCCGGGGCTGTCCTTCCATGCCATTCGCTGCTTGGGAATAAACGATGGCATTGTACCGGGTGCCAGGCTTTAACCCAACAAGCAGGACTTCCGTGACTCGGGACTGCTGGCCGGAGGATGGGAACTCTTGGCGCACAGGGGCAGTGGGGCTCCCTGCCTGGCTTTCCTCTGTGTTGTTGGCATCTGTTTCAAGCACAGGAGACAAAAACACATCAATCACAAGAAGGACACATCCCCTATCTCCCTTTGGAGCCCCCGCCCCATCGGATGGCCATCAGACAGTGGCCAAAGTTGGTGCTCCATCAATATCTGCTCCCTTCCTCCTCCAGAGAGAGATGCAGCCCCTAAAAAGGCCTGATGGCTCCATCTCCATTTGTACTATTATTCCAGTTAACACCACAGATATCTGGTACTTCTCTTTCAAACTCTGCTTATTTCAGGTCATTCTCTCTTCTTTGTGGCATTATATTCTCCTGTCCCAGCGTCGATTTCCAGGGACAGTTCTGTGAAGCAGACTTTGCTAATCAGAGACCCCTCAAGACACATTTCCCTGGACCAGACCCCAGCTGCTGGGGCAGCTGCAGGGTGTGAAACGGGAGCTGCTCTGAGAATGAAGCTGATGAACAGGAAGAAGCAGGAGGGAGGGGTGAGAATTGCCTCACCTCTTTCTCTAAGGCCTCCCCCTAGCAGGAAAATCCATGTAAGCCAATAAATTGTTCCTTCTGTCTGAGCTATCCAAAGTCTGGTTTCTGCCACTTGCAAGCAAGGATCCCGACACCCACCCTGTAGCTCTGTTTTCTTAAGTGTTAAATGCAAGGTTAAGTGCCTGTCCTCCGCCTGGGGTTATCCTAGGGATCCTCTGCAAATGCCATGAAACCTACAAATGACAATGCCAAGGTCAACCAGCGGACGTGCTAAGTTCCTCCGAAAGCCCAGCTTGGGTTGATATCAGCGTTATTTGCTCAACTGAAAGAAAGCTAAAGGGGCCTCTACTTTCCTGGGTGCCAGATTCTAAACAGCTTCAAGCCCTATTGCTGTTCTCAGCCCCAGTGTGTTCCCCTGTAAAATCAGAACACGTTTTCTTCCTCATGAGGGTGGGGGAATCAAACTAAAATGTGGAGGAAAAGCCCTCTATAAATTCTAAATCTCTATGCACATGGGAGAGCAATTTCTTTTTTAAAACATTAAGTTACTGAAAGTCAGAACCAGTAAGGGAGATGGGAGGTACCCTTTGTAACTCACCCATGCGACCTTCTGTGCCTGGGAAGGCTCCCTTTGTCTCGTTTGATTTTAGATGATATGGGTTGATGTTGTATTTAAACCCTGGCTTCAGGTCCGAGATATTGACCGCGAAGTCTTGGGTCGACGTCTCGTGGCTTCCAAGGCTTTCAAGAAGCATCCGGCAGGAGGCAGTGTCGTTACCATTGCTCCAGGTGACAGTAACGTTCCTCAAATCTGTGTCAACACTGAGGTCAGACACTGGAATCGGCTCTATTTTAAAAACACAGCATGCATTAATGGAAGATATATGCAGTCACCCTCATTAAGAATGACTGGGGTTCAGTGCTGGGAGCAGGTCTTTAGAAAGAAAGAAAGAAAGGATGAATGAATGAGGTCACTGATGTCCCAAGGTGACTCTAAAAATACTTCCTTTCTATCAGAGTCCAATGCATTTCCACCATTTCACAGCAGGACTGAGGAAGAAAATAATAATGCAGAAGAGAAGAAAAAACCTTAAAACTGAAATTGTTTAGGATCTACACTCTTCTCCAAGACGAACCCCAACAGTGATTAGAACCCTTCTAAACCTTCAAAATTAGCCCTTTTAAATGGTAGCATTTAATTATATGTGTTTTAGCTAGCAGGAGCAAAGCCTCAAATAAAGTGACTGTTTACTAATCTAAAGGCCTCAATCCAAGATAATGCAAATAATACCATTTTAAATCACCAAGACATTTCAACTAAGCAGCACATTCCATATCCCAGCCCCAAGGGGGTTTTTCAGAAGAAATTCCATCTCCACTCTATCCTGGCCCTTCCTCCCATCAGCTTATCTGGGTGATGGTGACATAAGTCAAACCACTTCAGTGAAAATGACATGCACTGCCCTCACTTTCCCAGTAAGAACATGGAGACCGCGAGAGGCAGGGCAGCTTGCTCCAGAACACACACTTCCAGTAGCAGTGGGGACAGGCGAACCCAGGGCTGCAGCTTTACGTAGAGAAAAGCACAGACAGTGCTGCAGAGAGCGCGAAACCCTGCCTGAGGGGCTGCAGGTGCCTGAAGGTGAAGACACTGGCCCAGAGGAGTCCAGGGCACCACCCAACTCCAAAACAGTGAGATGATTCCTCACAGCACGTGCTTCTCATGCAAAGATTTCTTTTACATATATACATATGTATGTGTTTGTGTATGTATATACATACGTGTGTGTGTGTGCATATATATATATATATATATATATATATATATATATATATATAAGTTTGGGGTGCAGGTTTGTTACACAGGTATACACATGCCATGGTAGTTTGCTGCATCCATCCCCCCATCATCTACATTAAGTATTTCTCCTAATATTATCCCTCCCCAATCCCCCCCACCACCGGCTATCCCTCCGCTAGCTCTGCCACCCCCAACAGGCCCTGGTATGTGATGCTCCTCTCCCTGTGTCCATGTGTTCTCATTGTTCAACACCCACTTGTGAGTGAGAACACGCAGTGTTTGGTTTTCTGTTCTTGTGTCAGTTTGCTGAGAATGATGATTTCCAGCTTCATCCATGTCCCTGCAAAGGGCATGAGCTGATCCTTTTTTATGGCTGCATAGTATTCCATGGTGTATATGTGCCATATTTTCCTTATCCAGTCTATCTTTCTAAATCGGGTCAGTCATGTGCCTTTTTGCTTTATTAAGTAATGAGGAACCGATAAATTCCCAGCTCAGTGACTCTGGGTGGCTGTTACGAGCATCACTGCACCACGGTAGTCTAGAGTTAGACTCCTGGGTTCCAGCCCCACCACTTGATGCTCAGTAACTGAGATACTGGAAGAAACTTAACTTCTCCACATTACAGTGTCTTCTGCTGCAGCCCTCAGGGTTACTGTGAGGACAAAATCACATTAAGGACAGCGACGCACATGGGCCGTGCTCAACACACAGCAGTGGACGGACCTGCTTCAACACAGACCTGCGCTCAGGGCTTTAAGGTAGATAAAGACACTCAGCCCCTCGACTGATGCTTCCTGCACCTCCGCATCCAGCGGCCACCCCCTTGGGATCACTTTGTCCTCGTCACCATTTCCAAATTCTGTGTTTTCTCTCCTCCTCTTCTCTTCTGTCATCTCTCTGTACTCTCCTTCTTTCCCTCTCTTTCACAATGTCAGAGAGCAAACCTTTACGGTGGGTTTCCCCCACTGAAATTGTGCTCTGAGGAGCTCCACGAGTTTTGTGAGGGTGCCCATGACACCCATTTCTTTGGCTCTTCTCTCTCCAGTTCTTATTTTTACTTACTGGGCTCCTGGGCAAGGTTTTGTTTAAAGAAACAGTTTCCTTTGGGAGGCCGAGGCGGGTGGATCACGAGGTCGAGAGATCGAGACCATCCTGGTCAACATGGTGAAACCCCGTCTCTACTAAAGGTGCAAAAAATTAGCTGGGCATGGTGGCGTGTGCCTGTAATCCCAGCTACTTCGGAGGCTGAGGCAGGAGAATTGCTTGAGCCCAGGAGGCGGAGGTTGCGGTGAGCCGAGATCGCGCCATTGCACTCCAGCCTGGGTAACAACAGCGAAACTCCGTCTCAAAAAAAAAAAAAAAAAAAAAAAGAAACAGTTTCCTGAGTAAAACTGTCAGAAGCCACTAGTTTCGTGTTTGCTGCTCCATGTCCGGGAGGTTTGCCAGGCTGGACCTTGCTCACCTCCAGCCGTGGCCTCCAAGAGCTCAGGAGCCCATGGCTGACTCCAGCCCCTGAGGTCACACCCCCCAGCACCCCCCACCAAGATCAGAAAACTAACAGAGGACCTCTTTTTTCAATTTGTTGTTCTCCTCACCTTAAAAAGAGTTTCTCACTTGTTTTTTAAAAATGTTTGGTTCTTTTCAGCTTAAAAAAAAAAGAGCTAAAGGCCAGGCGCGGTGGCTCACACTTGTAATCCCAGTAGGTTGGGAGGCCAAGGCAGGCAGATCATGAGGTCAGGAGTTTGAGACCAGCCAGGCCAATATGGTTGAAACCCTGTCTATACTAAAAGATGTGAAAATTAGCTACTCCCAGCTACTTGGGAGGCTGAGGCAGGAGAATCACTGGAACACAGGAGGCGGAGCTTGCAGTGAGCCGCCATCACACCACTGCACTCCAGCCCGGGTGACAGAGCAAGACTCCATCTCCAAAAAAAAGCTAAGTTTGCAACCATAACAGATGGCTTAAGTATTGACATCTATTTCATTTGAAATGCACACTCCTCTATAAAATACACCAAACTTTCCTGTCCAACAGAAACTCCTGGGAATATAACATAGCATCAATTTCCTGGGAGCTTAAAAGGCTGGTAATCACCGTAAAAACATGTTTTTAAGGAAGTCTCTACTCCTGAGTGTGAACAGAAGAGTAGGTATTGGCCAACAGTAACACAAGATTTTTAAAACCAAACAGAAGTAGACAGAACTTCCCAAAACACACAGGACCTTAATACTGAATGATCTGGCCACCTGAACCCCTGGGCTTGAAACAACACAGCACCTTTTCTCTCTTCTAGTTTATGAAAAACAATCTCTTTGCAACAGGCAACCTGAATGGACAAGGCCCTAGAATATAAGATAATAAGGAATGGTTTGTCATCATGCCTGGGAACCAATCATCTTACCTGTGGTGACATTTATGACTGTGGGATCTCCCCAGGTCTTATTGCCTATTTCTGGAGTAATGGTGAACACATATGAAGTCGCTGGATGTAAGTCTGTGACGTTACACCACTTGTGATGTGCAACAGAAATTGTTGTCTCATTTTCCATCTCATTCTTCACTGCACACTTGTACTCGGAAGGAGCTGGGTTGCTACTATTCCAGGTTAAGATCACATTGGTTGGACTGATGAAAACAGCTTTACTGTCAAACACAAGACTGGGCCCTATATTGTTTAAAAAAAAAAAAAAATTATTGCGCTTCAAAGAGACATGTTAGAGCAAGGTCTGCCCTATATGTCTAGTTTCGAGAAGTGACTTACCAATCACAGAGTTTCATCTCTCTTTATCGGCCTCCTAGACTTCCCTGCACCATAACTTATTTAAATCTATAATGCATAGATGTATGTGTGTATGTTAGTAAAACAGAAGCCTTTGGAACAGAAGCAAACCTGATAGCAGTTTGCCATGTTGGCTGTGGCTTAAAAATGGGGTTAAGTCTGTATAGAAGCTGATTCCAAAAGAGACCAAATTTTGGGAGGCCAAGGAAGGCAGATCACCTGAGGTCAGGAGTTTGAGACCAGCCTGGCCAACATGGTGAAACCCCACCTCTACTAAAAAAATACAAAAAGTAGCTGGGTGTGGTGGCAGGCACTGCAATCCCAGCTACTCGGGGGGCTGAGGCAGGAGAATTACTTGAACCTGGGAGGTGGAGGTTGCAGTGAGCTGAGATCACACCATTGCATTCCAGCCTGAGAGATAAAAGCGAGACTCTGTCTCAAAAAAAAAGAGACCAAAGATGCAAAATGAGTCCATCTCCCCATTCTCAGAAAACACTGCATGATGCAAAAGCACATGATAACTTTTTTGCCAAACGCTGACATCTAGAAGGAAGTTCGGCAGTTTTCTGACATAAAGATAGCAGGGGCAGAGCAGCGTAAAGAGAAAAGGACTGGTCATGGAAGCCAGATCTGGCTTAAAGACCTGCTCCACCACTGGGCACAGTGGCTCACACCTGTAATCCCAGCACTTTGGGAGGCCGAGGCAGACGGATCACAAGGTCAAGAGTTCGAGACCAGCCTGGCCAATATGGTGAAACCCTGTCTCTATTAAAAATAGAAAAATTAGCCAGGCGTGGTGGCGCATGCCTGTAAACCCAGCTACTTGGGAGACTGAGGCAGGAGAATTGCTTAAACCCGGGAGGCGGAGGTTGCAGTGAGCCAAGATCGTGCCACTGCACTCCAGCCTGGGTGACAGAATGAGACTCTATCTCAAAAAATAAAATAAAATAAACAAAGACCTGCTCCACCCGTTAGCTGTGTGACCTAGAATTAGTCCCTTCAAACCTCAGTCTCGAATACGTCTGCTGACAGCTCTAGCACACCACACTAAACAAAAAGAACTATTATTGAACCACCATGATATGATAAACAGGGGACAAGATTTAGACATTTAGAAATCTGGTTTCAGGGTCCAATTCTGCCAGTTGCTTACTGTGCAGTTTTACTCAAAGTCATCTTACCTCTCTGAACCTCAGTTTCATCATCTCAGACATACAAGATCGTAAACCCGTGGAAGTCATCAGGGTTATCAACTGCAAAACTACCAAATGGATGCACCCTAATTAAGCTGAAGACTGAGGAGTAACAAAGAGACCAAAGAGTAAAACCCAGGTGATAGGGCCCTCATTGTCAAAGAGCTTAGGAACCCATCCCAAAAGAGTAAAGATGGCATAAGTGACACCATCTTGGTAAGTGCATGGAGAGTGTGTCTTGCCTGGCTCATGGGATATGCAAACATTCATCCAATCAATAAAAACGGCAGGAAGCCGGGCACAGTGGCTCATGCCTGTAAGCCTGGCACTTTGGGAGGCTGAGGCAGGCAGACCACGTGAAGTCAGGAGTTCAAGACCAGCCTGGCCACCATGGTGAAACCCCATCTCTACCAAAAATACAAAAATCAGTCAGACACAGTGGCAGCTGCCTGTAATCCCAGCTACTCAGGAGGCTGAGGCAGGGGAATCGCTCGAACCCAGAGATGGAGGTTGCAGTGAGTCAATATCATGCCACTGCACTTCAGCCTGGGCAACAGGGCGAGACTCTTGTCTCGCCAAAAAAAAAAAAAAAAAAAAGGCAGGAGAAGAAACAAGAGCAGCGAAAATGGAATAAGCAGAAAAGGACCCTGTGGCCCACAGTTCACCAAATGCCATGCCAAAAGGCCCCTCAAGCTTGAGTTTCCTCTTTAGAAAATGACAAGTTCAGCCGAGCGCCGTGGCTCACACCTGTAATCCTAGCACTTTGGGAGGCTGAGGCGAGTGGATCACAAGGTCAAGATATCAAGACCATCCTGGCCAACATGGTGAAACCTCGTCTCTACTAAAAGTACAAAAAATTAGCCTGGCGTGGTGGTGCGTGCCTGTAGTCCCAGCTGCTTGGGAGGCTGAGGCAGGAGAATTGCTTGAAACTGGAAAATGGAAGTTGCAGTGAGCCGGGATCATGCCACTGCACTCCAGCCTGGCAATAGAGCGAGACTCTGTCTCAAAAAAAAAAGAAAGTGACAAGTTCACAGAGTCATAGTGGCACATTTGGAAGACGATGACGGTGCTGCCGTTTACAATCAATAACAATCACATTGATCAGGCTAATGATGAAACAGTAGCAGCAGTCACAGTGGGGTAGGTGGCAAGAACAAGAGCACTCCAAATGGGAGGCTGACCCTGTCCCAGATGCTGGACCAGGTGCTGTACAAGTATTTTTCATTTATGCCTCACAATAACATGAGAAAGGTATGGCACCATTTTAAAGGAGAAATGTGTTAAGAACTAAATTCTGTTGATTTGTACAGGGATTCTGGGAAGGTTTTGTAAAAGCAAGTTCTTAAGTTCAGAAAAGAAAGCACATTTAACAATTCTTTTTTGGGGGGGTCAAATGTTTTTTTCTGCATCTACTGAAATGATCTTATGGTTTCTGCCCTTCATTCTATTGATACGGTGTATCGCATTTACTGTTTTATACAGGTTGAACCCTTCTTGCATTCCTGGGAAGAATCCCACTTAATCACGGTGAATGATCTCTTTAATATGCTGTTAAATTTGGTTTGCAAGTATTTGCTTGAGGATTTTTACATCTTGGCCTATGGCATTTTAGGTTATATCCTTGTCTGGTTTTGGTATCAAGGTAATACCGGTCTTGTTAAATGAGTTTGGAAGTATTCCAGCCTCAATTTTTAGAAGCATTTGAGAAGAACTGTCATTAGATCCTCTTATTAAATGTTTGACAGAGGACTGGGTGCAGTGGCTCACACCAGTAATCCCAACACTTTGGGAGGCCCAGGTTGAGGGGATCGCTTGAGGCTAGGAGTTCAAGACCAGCCTGGACAACATAGTGAGACCTCCAGCTCCACAAAAAATAAGAGTTAGCTGGATATAGTGGTACACACCTAAAGACCCAGCTACTCGAGAGGCTAAGGCAGAAGGATCATTTCAGCCCAGGAGTTCAACTTACAGTGATCTATGACCACACCACTGCACTCCAGCCTGAGTGACAGAGACGGAGACCCTGCCTCTTAAAATGATAATAAATAGAAATGGCAGATGTTCTATTACTGATTCAATCTCCTAACTCATTATTGGATTATTCAGATTTTCTATTTCTTCATAATTCAATCTTAGTAAATTGTATATGCCAAGAAATTTGTCCATTTCTTCTAGGTTATCCAATTTGTTGGCATATAATTGTTCATACTTGCTCCTTTGTATTTCTGTGGTATCAGTTTATAATGTCTCTTGTTTCTGATTTTCTTTGAGTCATCTCTCTTTTTTCTTAGTCTAGCTAAAGCCTTGTCAATATTCTTTATCTTTTCCAAAAAAATCAACTTAGTTTATTGATCTTTTTTAGTGCCTATTTCAGCTTTGTTATTTTGTTTCTTTTACTAATTTGGAGATTAGTTTGTTCATGTTTTTCTAGTTCCTTAACGTGCCACATTAGGTTGTTTGAGGGTTTTGTTTTGTTTTTGTTGTTTTAAAACAGGGTCTCAATACCCAGGATGGAGGTGTGAGCTTTCTCTCCTTTTTTTGAGACAGTCTTGCTCTGTTGCCCAAGCTGGAGTACAGTAGCGCGATCTCGGCTCACTGCAACCTCCACCTCCTGGGTTCAAGCAATTCTCCTCCTTTAGCCTCCCTGGTAGCTGGGATTACAGGTGTGTCCCACCACGCCTGACTAATTTTTGTATTTTTAGTAGAGACAGGATTTCGCCATGTTGGCCAGGCTGGTCTCAAACTCCTGACCTCAAGTGATCCACCTGCCTCAGCCTCCCAAAGTTCCGGGATTACAGGTGTGAGCCACTGTGCCCGACAAGCTATCTTTTTGATATAGGAGTTTACTGCTATCAACTTTCTTGGAAGGGCTGCTTTTGGTGTATTCGACGGGCTCTGGTACAATGTGTTTCCATTTGCATTTGCTTCAAGAAATTTTTTTAATTTGTCTTTTAATTTCCTCACTGACCCATTGATTGTTCAGGAGCATCTCTGAGAAAATAATTAAGAGATTATTCAATAGTTACTGTGGCAGAGAGGGCAAGATCAGCATCACCCCTACTGGGAGCTGACCATGTCCCAGATGCTGTACCAGGGGCTGTACAAGCATTTTCTAATTTATGCCTCACAGTACTTTCATGAAAGAGGTTATGGCACCATTTTAAAGAAGAAAATATGTTAACAAAATTGCTTAAGAAGTGATGTTTGTCTCGAGATATTTTTTAGTTTCCTTTTAATTTTATCATCAACCCATTAGGAGCACGTTGTTTAATTTCCATGTAGCTGTGAATTTTCTGAAATTCCTCCTGTTATTTATTTCTACTTTGATGCTATCATCAGAAAAGATACTTGATATGACTTCACACTTCGTGAATCTGTTAAGACTTGTTTTGTGGTCTAACATACAATTGACACGGAGAACCTTCCAGGTCCAATTGAAAAGTGTATTCTGTGGTTGCGGGATGGAATGTTCTATATATGTCAGACATATCCATTTGGTCTAAACTATAGTTTAAATCTGATGTTTCCTTACTGATTTCCTGTCTGGATCATCTGTCCATTGCTGGAAGTAAGATGTTGGAAGTCTTCTACTATTAACGTATTGCAGTCAATCTCTCCATTCAGATCCATTAATATTTGCTTCATATACTTATATTTATAATCACTGAGACCTCTTGATGAATTGATTCCTTTATCATTCATTATAAAATGAAGTTTTTTGTCTTTTTTCTAAGTTTTGAACTTAAAGTCTACTTTATCTGATACAAGTATAGCTACTCCTGGCTCTCTTTTGATTTCCATTAGCGTGGAGTATCTTTTTCCATCCCTGCACTTTCAGTCTATCCATGTCCTTGCAGGTTAAGTGAGTCTCTTGAAGACAGTATATTATTGAGGTTTGTTTTTGTTTGTTTGTTTGTTTGTTTTTTGACCCATTCACCACTCTATGTCTTTTGATTAGAGAATTTAAACCCTTTCCTTTCAAGGTTATTACTGATTGGTAAGAACTTACCACTGCCATTTGGTTGTTTTCTAGACTCTTTGTTCCTTTCTTCCTCTCTTGCTGTCTTCCTTTGAGGTTAAGTGATATTCTCTAGTAGTACATTTTGATTCCTTGCTTTGTATTTTTTGTATATCTATTAAAAGTTCTTTTTTGTGGTCACCATTTACATCTTTTATATTGCATATGCCCCCTGCAAGTTACTGCAGTTATTATTTTTTAAGTATTATCTTTTAACTTTCATACTAAAGATATGTATGACCATTACAGTATTCGTGTATTCTGAATTTGACTGTGTATTTATTTTACTAGTGAGTCTTATCCTTTCATATGTTTTCAATTAATCATTAGTGTCCTTTTCTTCCAGCTTAAAAACTCTCTTTAGCATTTCTTGTAAGACATGTCTAGTGGTGATAAACTCTCTCAGCTTTTGTTTTTCTGGGAAAGTCTTTATCTTGCTTTCATTTTTGATGGCCAGTTCTGCTGAATATAGTAATCTTGGTTGGCAGGTTGTTTGCCTCCAGCAGTGTATATATTACCCCACTCTCTCCTGGCCTGTAAGTTTCTGCCAATAAATCTGCTGCTAGCTGAAGGGGAGGTCCCTTATATGTTATTTCCTTCTTTTCTCTTTTTGCTTTCCAAATCCCCATTGTCTGTGATGTTTGACAGTGTGATTATGTTCTGGAGTAGTCTTGTTTAAATCGACTCTGATTGGAGTCCTTTGTCCTTCCTATACCTGGATATTTATATCTTTCTCTAGCTTTGGAGAGTTTTCTGCTACTATTTCTCTAAATAAGCTTTCTACCCTTTATCTTTCTCTCCCCCTAGATGAACTCCAATGATTCAAATACCATCTCTTTTGATGTTTTCCCATAAATCCTATAATTCTTCATTTCTTTTTATTCATTTTTTTCTTTTTCCTCCTCCAACAATATGTTTTCAAATAATCTGTCTTCAAGTTCAAAGATTGTTTCTTCTACTTGATCAGTTCTACTCCTGATGCTCTCTATTACATTTTTCATTTTGTTCATAGTATTTTTTAGCTCTGGAATTTGTGTTTGCTTCTCTGTTGAATGTCTCAGTCTAGTCATATTGTTTTCCTCATTTTTTAAAATTGTTTCTCTGTATTTTCTTAAAGTTTCCTAGGCTCCCTTAAAACATATATTTTGAATTCTCTATCAGACAGTACATAAATCTCCCATCTGGTCAATCACTTGCACTTGACTTTGTCTCTCTGGTAACATAATTGTTCTTGATCGTTGTGACTCTACATTGATGTCTGCACATTTGAAGAAGCAGGTTCTTATTCCAGTCATTGTAGATTGGCTTCCTCTGGAAATGCCCTTCTACAGTAAGCCTGTCCAAAGATTTCTGGACAGACCATCTGATATGGTCCCAACCTCTAGGACTACAATGGCCACTGAAGTGCTAGAGAGGGCCCTAAGCCCAAACTTTTATAACAATAATTAACATTAGTTCCCTAGGATTTTTTTTTTTTGAGATGGAGTCTCACTCTGTCATCCAGGCTGGGGTGCAGCGGTGCCACATCCACTCACTGCAACCTCTGCTGCCCAGGTTCAGGTGATTCTCTTGCCTCAGCCTCCCGAGTAGCTGGAATTACAGGTGTACACTACCACACCCAGCTAATTTTGTATTTTTAAGAGAGATGGGGTTTCACCATGTTGGCCAGGCTAGTCTTGAACTCCTGACCTCAGCTGATCCATCCGCCTTAGCCTGCCAAAGTGCTGGGATTACAGGCATGATTCATCATGCCCTGCCCCCTAGGAATTTCTAGAAGTTTCTCATACTAGCCTAGAAATAATTCAATGATTTATTTAAACTGTTTACATGAAATGATTTTAGCCATAGTTCTAGGACTAACAAGACTATTGCATCATAATGTTTTTATGAAAAATTGTAAATAATCTACCTTCCCAACAACAAGGAAGTAGTCAAATAACTTACAATTCTTCTAGACAAGAAATTCTTAAGCATTGTGGTCTCAGGACCCTTTTAACTTCTTAAAAATTATTAAGGCTCTTGGAGAATTTTTGTTTATATGGGTTATATTAATACTTACCATACTGTATTAGAAATAAAAAAGATTAAGTTTTTTAAACATAACAATGTGAAAGCATACATTCCATCAGCTGTTAGAGTGACAATGTCATCCCATGTCATATAGATCTGGAAAATTCCACTCTATACACATGATAAAATGAGAGCAAAGAAGCCAAATAACATGTTAGTAATATTATGATAAAAATATCCAGAAAGGCCAGGCGCGGTGGCTCAAGCCTGTAATCCCAGCACTTTGGGAGGCCGAGGTGGGTGGATCACGAGGTCAAGAGATCGAGACCACCCTGGTCAACATGGTGAAACCCCGTCTCTACTAAAAATACAAAAAAATTAGCTGGGCATGGTGGCGTGTGCCTGTAATCCCAGCTACTCAGGAGGCTGAGGCAGGAGAATTGCTTGAATCCAGGAGGCAGAGGTTGCGGTGAGCCGAGATCGTGCCATTGCACTCCAGCCTGGGTAACAAGAGCGAAACTCTGTCTCAAAAAAAAAAAAAAAAAAAATCTAGAAATACGTTGAAAGAATCTAGGAGACCCCTAGAGATCTCTGAACCACGGGTCTTAGAATCACTGATCTAACCCAGGTGTCAGCAATGTTCTTCTGTAAAGGCCAGAGAATAAATACTTCAGGCTTTACAAGCCACACATTCTCCATTGCCACTACTCAATCCTAGCATGAAAACAGCCATAGGCAGACTCAATAAAACTTTACTTATCAAAACAGAAAGTAGGCTGGGCATGGTGGCTAATGCCTGTAATACTGGCACTTTGGGAGGCTGAGGCAGTGGATGACCTGAGGTCAGGAGATGGAGACCATCCTGGCCAGTACAGTGAAACCCCATCTCTACTAAAAATACAAAAATTAGCGGGGCATGCACGCCCCTATAATCCCAGCTACTCAGGAGGCTGAGGCAGAAGAATCACTGAACCCAGCAGGCAGAGGCTGCAGTCAGCAGAGATTGTGCCACAGCACTCCAGCTTAGGTGACAGTGAGACTTCATCTTAAAAAAAAAAAAAAAAAAACAGGAAGTGAGCCAGATTTGGCCCATGGACCATTATTATTTGTCTACCTGATTTAGACAACAGAATGACAGGCAGGTATCAAAACTGTTCTGTTGAAATAGATATACTTATAGGGAAGAATATTCATAATATATTGGTAAGAAATTACACATACAGGATGACCTCAGTATTTGTAAAACAAAATAAAATATATATATAACGTGTATACATATGCACGCACACACACATATGTATCTTAAAATTGTGAACATCATATATCAAGTAATCAGTGGTCATCTCCAGTTAATGGTTTACTTGTTTTTCCTTTCTTCTTGCTTGTCTATATTTTATATAATGAATATGCATTACTATTATTATAAAACTATTTTAAAGATTTTCTTAGGTAATCAAAAGAATAATATTTGGAACATTTATAAATTATACTGACTTCCTTTAAGAAAAATGACTGGCAGAAAAGCCTACTTGCTTACCAGGGCTACTGGAAGTTTTTTGAGTTGCTCCAGCAGTCCCACTAGATTCTTGTCCAGATGTTTTCAAACTATCGTTGGCTACAGAGCCAGCCCGACTGGGAGTTGCTTCTTCACTGGTGCTCTGAGCTCTGTCACTTTTCTCTGTGTCAGAATCTGAAGCCCCTGTAACAGTGGCTATGCAAAGAAAGTAAACAATTAGATTAAAAATATATTTCTTGCCCAGGCCTGATGGATCACGCCTGTAATCCCGGCACTTTGGGAGGCCAAGGCGGGGGGATCACCTGAGGTCAGGAGTTCAAGATCAGCCTGGCCAATATGGCAAAACCCCATCTCTACTAAAAATACAAAACTTAGCCAGGCATGGTGGCAGGTGCCCGTAATCCCAGCTACTTTGGAGGCTGAGGCAGGAAAATCACTTGAACCTGGGAGGCAGAGGTTGCAGTGAGCCGAGATCATATCACTGCACTCCAGCTCAGGCGACAAGAGCAAGACTTCATCTCAAAAAAAAAAATAAAAGTATATATGTATATATACTTTTATATAAAAAGTACATATATAAGGCCGGGCGTGGTGGCTCAAGCCTGTAACCCCAGCACTTTGGGAGGCCAAGGCAGGTGAATCACAAGGTCAAGAGATCGAAACCATCCTGGTCAACATGGTGAAACCCCGTCTCTACTAAAAATACAAAAAATTAGCTGGGCATGGTGGCACATGCCTGTAATCCCAGCTACTCGGGAGGCTGAGGCAGGAGAATTGCTTGAACCCAGGAGGTGGAGGTTGCGGTAAGCTGAGATCGCGCCATTGCACTCCAGCCTGGGTAACAAGAGTGAAACTCTGTCTCAAAAAAAAAAAAAAAAAAAGTACACATATATATATATATACACACACACACACACACACACACACACACACAGTATATACTCTTCAGAAGATGGGGATGTCCCACCTCACAAAATATTTACAATGAAATTAAACGCACACTTAGGAAACCTGATCCCTCTCTTTCTCTTCCTCATATCATCACCTACAACATATGCCCACTGGAAACTGCTGTTTCTGGCCACAGGGAGGGCACTCGGCCTCAAGAGTGCGGAAGCTCCATGCTTACACTGCACACAGACATTCACAGGAAATGAGAGGAGGCATGAGTTCCTACAGTCAAGGGCGCGGCTCTGGAGCAGAACCCTGGCCACACTGGCCGCTTTATCTTGAATGCATTACTAGCCTCCCAGAGCTTCTGTTCAGGGAGGGACAGCAGAGGCCACTCTTGACCCCCAAAATCCATTCTTCATTTTCCCTACATCACGCTCCCAGAATTCCAGCCCTGTGTGTGCATGGCTGTGGGGAACAAAGACCACATTTCCCAGCCTCCCATGCAGCTAGATGTTGCATGCGACTAAGTTTTGGTTAACAGAGTGTGAGCAGAGGTACTGGGTGACTTCTAGGAAGTGTCCTTAAAGGGTGGAGCTCAACCTTCTGCCCATCATCCTCCTTACAGCCGGAGCGTGGATGTGATGACTGGAGCTCACGCTGCCTCACTCTAGAACCAACACTGTGGGGGTGGCTACAGCTTCCCGATCCCAGGATCACAGCTCAGAACATGCACCCCTGGATCCAGCAACTACAGCAGGGATTTCCTGATTCCTCCCTGTGCTGTCTGCGACCACGGTGGTGACTCTCCAGGGGGTCAGTTCTGCAGCCTTAGGCTGGAAGTCATTTCCCAGGGCCAGGCCTAAAGCCTCCTCCCCAGCTGCTATGAGCTGAATTATACTCCCCCACCCCCAAATTCATATGTTGAAGTCCTAACCCCCAAGACCTTGGTCTTATTATAGCAAACTAACACAGCAGCCCTCCCAATGACTGTAAACTCTCACTTCCCAGGGTAGATCCTTTCAGTTAAAATAGTTCATGATTTCTGTTTCCTGCAGCTGTTTTCATTGCACAAAAATTACAGGCGTGAGCCACCACGCCCAGCCTTCAATGCTTATATAAATGTTTTATGACCAAAAACTTAGTAAGGACATAATCCCGGAATGGATGGTGCTTTCACCGAATATATTTAAGTTTCCTTTAAAAACTTTAGTCGCCTGTAATCCCAGCACTTTGGGAGGCAGAGGCTGGCAGATCACGAGGTCAGGAGATCGAAACCATCCTGGCTAACACAGTGAACTCCATCTCTACTAAAAATACAAAAGAATTAGCCAGCTGTGGTGGCACACGCCTGTAGTCCCAGCTACTCAGGAGGCTGAGGCAGGAGAATCGCTTGAACCTGAGAAGCAGAGGTTGCAGTGAGCTGAGATCGCACCACTGCACTCCAGCCTGGCAACACAGCGAGACTCCATCTCAAAAACAAACAACAACAACAAAAAACTTTTAGTCATATCCTGATTTTTCTCATTTTACTACAGATCAAGGAACGAACCGGCCAGCACTAGTCAGCAGTTGGGACTCAGCCCTGTACATGAGAGCAAAACGTGCAGGAGTCCAGCTCTCGTTTTCCAAAGGTTATGCCAACCTTGTATACCACTTTTTAAATGTAGCAATGTAGCAACACAAGAAAATAAAGCATAACAGCACATAAGCAATAGGAAAACACTGTATTACAATTTCAACTAAGTGAAATCGCCCACAGATCAGGCTAGAAAAAAATCACAGAAAATATAAATTTTCATCATGATTGCACAATTAAATTTTTTTTCTTTCATCTGTTGTTTCCACCCTCACTTCTAAAGAAAAATTGGAAACTGAGCAGGTTTCCTTAAGACAGCATTTTGACATTGCTGTTAATATTGCTCTGTGTCCATTAGGGGGCAGTAGCGAACAACACAAGAATGGAGAGGAAAAGGGTACTCACAGTCACCTGCGCACAGGATCTGAAACAGAAAAAGAAAACGGAAGTCAGCAGATTCATTCAGCCATGGAAAATGCAAATCAGAAATAAAGCCGTTGAGGATTTAATAACGGGGGTGGGGGCGGTAAGAAACACATTAAGCAAAGGTCTGCTGGTCAGGGTTAGGGCGTCTTGGGACATTAAACACAGAGAATCATTGCAACCTCGGGTCAATTACAAAGGATTAACCAGGTTACGTGGTGGCCGGTGGCTGCTGGCTCCCAGTGCCCAGGGTTTCCCCCCAGACACACTCCCCCGACCTCAGGCCCCCTCCCCGGAGCAACTCCCCAGGTCACCACTTCCCTCCAGCCACTGTAGGATGAGTTGAAGCAGGAGGACACAGAAGCAGAGACAAGATTGTCGGGTCCAAAAAAGGGAGGTCAGGGGCGGATACCAAGACCAGCACAGCCCGCCCCCAGACCCATTTCCCAATCCTGACGGCACGGTGGAAACCAGATGTACAGCAGAAGAAATCCACTGGGTTTGGGATTTTCATTGCACAAAAATTCATCTTCAGCCGGGCGCAGGGGCTCATGCCTGTTAATTCCAACACTTTGGGAGGCTGAGGCGGGCAGATCACGAAGTCAGGAGTTCGAGACCAACCTGACCAATATGGCGAAACCCCGTCTCTACTAAAAATACAAAAAAAAAAAAATTAGCTGGGCGTGGTGGTGGTACATGCCTGTAATCCCACCTACTCAGGAGGCTGAGGCAGGAGAATTGCTTGAACCTGGGAGGTGGCGGTTGCAGTGAGCCACAATCGTGCTACTGCACTCCAGCCTGGGTGACAGAACGAGACTCCATCTCAAAAAAAAAAAAAAAAAAAAAAAATCATCTTCTTTCTATCAGTAGGTGGCAGTAAATTTTTTAAATCTCACATCAAGCAGCTTTGGGAAGAATAAAGGTTTGAAACAGAAGAGGCTTTTTTAGCTGACCGTGTCACCTGGGGAGTGGGGCAGCCCTCAAGGATATATTCATTGTGACCATAATTATTTCCCTGTACTTTAAAAGCCTAAAGTGCTTCAAGGTTGTACATTCTACTGTTTCATAAACACACCTTTTTGGTGAATAGCATTTTTTTTTTTAAGTAGGATCATCACAAAGAATAAAATAATCATAAAGGACCCTGGTGGAAAAAACTATCCGCCTACTTCCCAGGACACTCAGAATAAAATTCAAACTCAGCCACAGCACACCAGCCCCTCTGGACTCACTGCCCCCTCACATTCTCGAAACTGACTCTCCCCTAGAGCTTTTACATATTTATTTCCTCCTCCAAACGCACTCCGCCTGGACCTTTTCACCGCCTGCCCAAAACGCCACCTCCTTGGCAAGTCCTCTAAGCAGCCATGGAAACCAGCACCCCTCACCCTCCGTCCATCACTGACTCCTCCAACCACATTGCACGCTCCAGGAGAACAGAGATCTTGTCTGTGCCCCATGCCTGGAATAGTGGACGCAGCAGGCACTCAGTAAATGGCACTGGAAGGAAGGAATGAGCCCAGAGAGGGGAAAGGCTTGCCCCAAGGTCCTCCAACTCTCAAACTTCCCACCCCCACCTTCCACCCTACCTTCAAGCCCTCGGCATCTCAGGCCTATCCCTTTACAGCTCATCTTCCTCCTCTGGCCCCTGCCCTTCAATCTATGCTGAGCCTCAATCTACACTCTCTGATGGGTCATAGGAGAAAACGAGAAAAAAGAGAAGTCAATAGCTAGGCAGGTCACACAAGGCAGCAAATATTTTTTTGCCCAGTAAGGGGAAAGGTTCAAGTAAAAGCACTGTGGGAGGCTACACTTACAAATGCCTACTGAAGATAAAAAGGAACTCTAATGCTGGGCACAGTGGCTCGCGCCTGTAATCCCAGCACTTTGGGAGGCAGATCACCTGAGACTGGGAGTTCGAGACCAGCCTGACCAACATGGAGAAATCCCGTCTCTACTAAAAATACAAAATTAGCCAGGCATGGTGGTGCGTGCCTGTAATCCCAGCTACTCGGGAGGCTGAGGCAGGAGAATTGCTTGAACCCAGGAGGCAAGAGGTTGCAATGAGCCAAGATCGCGCCATTGCACTCCAGCCTGGGCAACAGAGTGAGACATTGTCTCAAAAAAAAAAAAAAAGAAAAGAAACTCTTACTAAGCACCTACTGTGCGCCAGGCACTTTCTACATCTGTTGTCTCAGCACAGAACCATGGAGTGATGGCTAAGAGCAGGGACCTGGCCTCAGACGACCTGAAGGAAGTCGTTCAGTGCCACCACTTCTGGCTGTGTGACTGTGGGCAGGCAGCCTGATCAACCTCTCTGTCCCTCCATGTCTATTTCTGCCAACAGGACGATCCTTGTATCTGCCTTGCTTTAGCGAGGATTAAGTTAAATGATCAATCATAGCAACCCGGTGAGGTGTTTTTATCCCGATTTTTCAGATAACACCACCAAGGCTCAGCTCTTCCTGATAAAAACCAATGTGCAATCTGAAGCTCATACTCTCCCCAGCATTTTTCCAAAGTATTTTTTTAATAATTTTTTTTTTTAAGAGACAAGGTCTCGGCTGGGCACGGTGGCTCAAGCCTGTAATCCCAGCACTTTGGGAGGCCGAGGCGGGTGGATCACGAGGTCGAGAGATCTAGACCATCCTGGTCAACATGGTGAAACCCCATCTCTACTAAAAATACAAAAAACTAGCTGGGCGTGGTGGCGCATGCCTGTAATCCCAGCTACTCAGGAGGCTGAGGCAGGAGAATTGCCTGAACCCAGGAGGCGGAGGTTGCGGTGAGCCGATATCACACCATTGCACTCCAGCCTGGGTAACAAGAGCGAAACCCTGTCTCAAAAAAAAAAAAAAAAAGAGAGAGACAAGGTCTCACTGTGTCACAGGCTGGAGTGCAGTGGTGCAATCACAGCTTACTGCATTTCTGATCTCACATGCTCAAGTGATCCTCCCACCTAAGCCTCCCAGGCAGCTGGGACTACAGGCACGCACCACCAGGCCCAGCTGATTTTTTTATTTTTGGGTGAGGACAGGCTCTCACTTTGTTGCCCTGAGTGGTCACAAGCTCCTAGGCTCAAGCAATTCTCCCACCTTGGCATCCCAAAGTGCTGGGATTACAGGCATGAGCTACCATGCCCAGCTTTTTTCTCCAAGCATTTAAATAGAGCGACAACTCAGTTGCAGAGGACATGAAGGCACAGAGACAGTAAGTGTTCAAAGACACACAGCCAGAGAGGAAGCACAAGAACCAGAACCCAGACCTTGACCTCAGCCACCCTCCGTAAGCTCCCCCAGTGCCCCTTCTTTCCTGAAACCCAGGCGTGGATTGGGCAGTCACGCACAGCTCACCCTCCTTCTCGCTGCTCCTCCACAAAGTCACTAGTACAGATGACCCAAACCTTCTGCTGGCCCCCGTGGCTGGACGAAAAGAGCAAACACTAAGAAGAGAGATCGGTGGGCGCAGTGGCTCACGCCTGTAATCCCAGCACTTTGGGAGGCCCAGGCGGGAGGATCACAAGGTCACGAGATCGAGACCATCCTGGCAAACATGGTGAAACCCCGTCTCTACTAAAAATACAATAATTAGCTGGGCATGGTGGCACGCGCCTGTAGTCCCAGCTACTCAGGAGGCTGAGGCAGGAGAATTGCTTGAACCCAGGAAGGCGGAGATTGTGCCACTGCATGCCAGCCTGGCAACAGAGTGAGACTCCATCTCAAAAAAAAAAAAAAAAAAAAAAAAAAAAAAAAACAAGAGAGATCAAGCTCACAATTCAGCAGTGACAGACATGGGAAGACGGTAGTATGGCCCACAGTTCTGCCAAAGACTTCCCGTTACCTACAGGTAATGTGAAAAAAGCTGGGCATGGTAGCTCATGCCTGTAATCCCAGCACTTTGGGATGCCAAGGTGGGAGGATTGCTTGAGCCTAGGAGCTTGTGGCAGCAAACCTGTTAGTCAACCAGATGTGCCCAGGAACACCCAGTGCTACACAGGAGGAGGAGTCTTGTCTGTCCTCTTTCCTGAGGGGCAGCTCCTCGCTGGTGAGCCGTCCAGCCTTACTCATTGCTCCCCTCCCCTAGAGATGCTTCTGGTTTCACATCCTCCTTTGTTTGTGCTGATAAGTCGAATCCTTTCTGGGTTTTGTTTTTTTTTTTTTTTTCCTTGCCAGCAGGAAAAACCACTGCCAGTCCCAAATGTGGTTCCAGTCACAGCAATCCTCCTCCAGGCCTCAGAGAAAAAGAAACTGTTAACACAGCTTTCTACACCATCACAATTCAGCCAAACCTGCAGCCGTGACATCGGTGGTCTACTCTGAATACTGGATTCTTCCCACTCAAAAACTAAGGCCGGGCGCGGTGGCTCATGCCTATGATCTCAGCATTTTGGAAGGCCAAGGCGGGTGGATCACCTGAGGTCAGGAGTTCCAGACAGCCTGGCCAACATAGTGAAACCCCATCTCGACTAAAAGTACAACAATTAGCCAAGTATGGTTGTGTGCACCTGTAATCCCAGCACTCTGGGAGGCGGAGGCAGGAGAATCGCTTGAACCTGGGAGGCAGAAGTTGTAGTGAGCTGAGATTGTGCCACCACACTCCACCCTGAGCTACAGAGTGAGACTCTGTCTCAAAAAAAATAAAAAGAAAGAAAGAAAAAGAAAAAAGAAACTAAGTCACAGGGTTCCTCCAGCTGCATTTACCTAAAATTTCTAAAACTCTCCCCAACTCCTCTACGTGAAAATCCTACATATATATACACACCAAAACAGACCTCTATATACCCTCCTCCTCCCCTCTCTCTGATGTGACTGTGTCATGAACCCTGTCTCCCAGTCTGCAAAGCAGAATAACCTCTGGTCTTTGTGGGTCCCATAAAGATGTTTCCTTGCCCAGCGCACCTGGACTTCCCCACTTCTGTATTGTGCATATTGTAAACCAAGTCCTCACATGCTCCAGCCCTAAATCACAGAAACAGCCTCATCCTAGGGCTAAGACTCAGGCCATTTCCATCTGCATTTTATGAAGCTCCCGACGCACATACGTACACACAAAATTAGGAAGTACCAGAAAAGTGTTATAGCTGCTGCCGTCTATTTTTGGTTTTGCTTCTGATCGAGCAACACCCTGACTCTCCCTATAGCCCCTCATTTGGAATATAAGAGGCCTTACATGGGGCGTTTTGTGAACACCAGTAGTGAGAGCCAGGCCCTACTCCCTCTTCCATATACCCTATTGCCCCTCCCTTCAATCCACAGTAAAAAAAAAAAAAAAAAGAAAGAAAGAAAAAAGAAAAACTACTAGAACTGCAAATTCCTCTTTCTGAAACATGCAGTTATTAGCCAGGATCCTGGCAGGAGCAGATGACACACTCAACCAGGGTGAGTGAGGAGAGTTTTAAAGGGTCTGTTTTCGGTGGGGGGTCGGGGGGTTGGGTAAGGGAAACCAGTAAGGGATGGGCAAGAATCCTGGGGTAGCAGCAGCGAAGAAGGGCAAGGAGAGAGGCCAGGGTGGCCTCCCCTCATCTCCAGCTAGGGCCTCTCACCGGACTGGCCCACTGGAAGCTGGAGGCCAAAGGCACCCACTGGTAGAGAACATAAAGCTCAGCCTTGGCCGGGCGCGGTGGCTCACACCTGTAATCCCAGCACTTTGGGAGGCCGAGGTGGGTGGATCATGAGGTCAGGAGATCCGGACCATCCTGGCTAACACGGTAAAACCCCATCTCTGCTAAAAATACACACACACACACAAAAAAAAAATAGCCGGATGTGGTGGTGGGTACCTGTAGTCCCAGCTACTCAGGAGGCTGAGGCAGAAGAATCACTTGAACCTGGGAGGCAGAGGTTGTGGTGAGCCAAGATCGCACCACTGCACTCCAGTCTGGGCAACAGGGCCAGACTCCATCTCAAAAAAAAAAAAAAAAAAAGGTCACCTCCTCCTGGTGGGCAGAGTAGGGTAGAGACAGGGGGGTGGGTCTCAGGGGCACACGGAGATTCGCAGCACAGAGCCTCCATCACGTCACCACTGAGAGCCCATCAGACTGGCAGGTGTGGACTAGGGTGGTTAGGAGGTTAGTTCAGCTTCCACTGTCACTCGTGAGCTCTGACGCTTGAGGGTCTCATGGAGCTATTGGTCTCCTCAGTTGTAAAACGACGCAGGTGCATCTGCAATACAGACCCCACGTCTGTGTTGTCCCAAGACCTGAACAACACCAGGTTCCTTAACTCCCGGCCTAACAGCTTCTTCCTGCTTCACTGAACCTCTGAGGCCAGCACCCTTCAATTCACTTGGTGACTTCCTGTCCCAGCCCCCAAGGAGCTCTCCAGGCTCTGAGCCCCTCTCTCCCCGTCCATGCTGCTGTCCATGCTGCTGATGCTCTTCCTGTGGCCCTGCAGGGCCCCAGGCTAGGCACCAAAGATACAGGATAGGTGCCAAAGATGCAGAGGGTGCTTAAGGTTGTCCTGACTCTCCAAGAGCTCACAGGCAAGAAAAGCAGTGAAAGATATGAGTGCACGAGGACCTGGTGAGCTTGGGGGATGAGGATGGAGGGGCTTGGTTGGGGGCAGGTTCCAGGGTAACATGCAGGGGTAGAGTGGGAGAGAACATGACATAAAGAGTGACCCTGGCCGGGAACAGTGGCACCCACCTGTAATCCCACTACTTTGGGAGGCTAAGGCAGATGGATCATAAGGTCAGGAGTTCAAGACCAACCTGGCCAACATGGTGAAACTCTGTCTCTACTAAAAGTAGAGAAATTAGCCAGGTATGGTGGTACACGCCTGTAATCCCAGCTCCTCAGGAGGCTGAGGCAGGGAATTGTTTGAACCTGAGAGGCGGAGGTTGCAGTGAGCCGAGATCATGCCATTGCACTCCAACCTAGGCTACACAGAGAGACTCAATCTCCAAAAAATAAAAGAGTGACCCTGTGTGAGAATCGAATGCTAGTCCATTCTGCTTATTATAATATTGACTGAACCCTTAGCTACTGGCCAACCGCATGTCAGATGTTGTATTTAACATCTCATTTAAGCCTTACAATAATCCCAGCAGGGAAGAACTGTGTTTATCCCCTTTTCACAGATGTAGACACTGAGCCTTGGAAAAGTTAAGGTCCTGATTGAGCCTCTTAGAGCCAGTAAGTCTAAGATTCAGCCCCAGGCCAGTTGGACCCTGAAGTCCTTGACCTTAACCCCCGGGGAGCTCTAAACTGGCTCAGCCCTGGGCAGGTCTCAGCTGAGACCGTGAAACCCCAAGGCAGTTCCAGAGCCACAGGTCACAAACCCTGCCGTCCTGGGCTTGGGGACAGGCCCCATCAACCCATTTGAATTGACGAATCAAGACCGCTTGTACAAATTTCTCAAAAGGAGCAATGTTTGGGGGCAAATTCACAGAGCAGCCTGGATTTCAGCAGGTGACAAAGCTCCAGGTTTCTGTTATCCACGGTGGGCTTTTAAGGATGGGTAATAAGTGACTGAATAGCACAATGGGTAACAATAGAATCTTTATCCTTCTAAAACCAAGCCCACACACCATATGACAATAGTTATTTTTACCCACTGACGTAATTAACCAAAATGTGAACCGCTTCAAGCAATGTTTAAAATCAAATAGCAGTTTATGGGATTTGGAGCAGCACAGATTTCCACTCTGAAAGGCTATCATTCTTCCTGCTCTCCCATTTATCTCCCTTGTAAAGATTATCCGACAACTCCCTATAAAACTGGTTCCTGAAAGGTAAATCATCGATCATGAAAGTGACAGGCTGGGAGGGCCCTCCCACTGAACCCAGAAGCCAGACAACGAACACCCATGGTAGAAAGCTTCCCAGAAGTCAGGTGTGGCATTGCAGGGTGGCCTGAGTACCTCTCGTCCAAAAGGCAGGGACAGGCAGGCCAGCAGGCAGCACAGTGAACAGTGCCCCAAGCACAAGGCATCAGGCACAGCAAATTGAGAATAGGCCGGCTTCCCTGCCTCATCTGCTAATAAACTCTCTGAACTTCATGCTGTCATCAGGGACTGTGGGGAAGGGTCAGCATAATTCACAATTCCAGGTCCCAAAAATGCCATGGGAGGCTACAGTGGAAGGAACGAGAACCAACCACCCTGCAAAGATCCCCCTGGCTCATCTTCCCCCTTGGGAAACTGGAAGCACGATGGCCTCTTCCAAGCGCACACAGAAAAAAAGTAGCCGGAAGGCTATTTTGGTGAGGCTATGTGGACTTGGAGACACACAGCTGAGGGTGAGCTTGGAAATCCCAGGCCAGAAGTTTCCATTGGGTATTTTTAGCAATAGAACTATTTTCTCAAAAAGACTCCTATGAAGAACTGCATACATATGTGTATAGAGTTCCGCATTTCATACATATCTCTGTGTGTGTATACGCCATATATACACCTGGATAAAGGCAGCTTTTTCAACGTTCAAATTACCTTGCTTTTTACTTTGAACATAACTGATGTATAATCAAATTAAGAAGCTGATGGTTTCCAGTGAATTTTAAAATTTGATGCGATTTGCTATTTGGGTAAATGTGTTGGTTGGTTGGTTGGTTTGGTTTGGTTTTAGTTTTTTTGAGACAGGGTCCCGCTCTGCAGCACAGGCCAGAGTACAACGGCACAGTCATAGCTCACTGCAGCCTTAAACTCATGGACTTAAGCAATCCGTCAGCCTCAGCCTTCCAAGCAGTTCAAACTTCAGAAATGTGCCACTACACCCTGCTATTTCTTTTGTTTTTTGTAGAAACAGGGTCTCCCTATACTGCCCAAGCTGGTCTCAAACTCCTGGCCTCAACTGATCTTCCCACCTCAGGCTCCCAAAGTGCTGGGATTACAAGCAGGAGCCACCACACTCTATCCTGGGCAGCTGCTCTCATTATAATTTCAAATATGCTTAAATTTGAGAGTACAGGTTGTTTCTATTAAAACAAAGCAAACGCTTATGGAACCCCGACACACCTCCAGGAGCACACTTTAAAAACTAGCGATCTACCCTGTAATCCCAGCACTTTGGGAGGCTGAGGCGAGTGGATCACGAGGTCAGGAGTTCGAGACCAGCCTGGTAAACATGATGAAACTCCGTCTCTACTAAAAATACAAAAATTATCTGGGTGTGACAGTGCATGCCTGTAGTCCCAGCTACTTGGGAGGCTGAGGCAGGAGAATTGCTTGAAACCTGGAGCTGGAGGTTGCAGTGAGCTGAGATGGTGCCACTGCAGTCCAGCCTGGTGACAGAGCGAGACTCCATTTCAAAACAAAAAACAAAAACAAAAACAAAAAGCACTAGCAATCTACCTACCCTTTGACTTTATGGAGGAAGAAAGTGGGTCCCAGAACGGTTCAGCAACTCAACCTAGAGCACCCAGTACCGAGACTAAAATACAAATCCTGGACTCCTCCACAGGGCTAATCTCTTCTTCTAAAGACCATTCTAAAATGGTCAGAATTGGCAATCCCCAAGTCCCCATCTGAACCCTTGCTCCACCTTGTATGATAAATCTGGGGGTCCAAAATTGAGGCTCCCCTGTCTGAACCTAGCCCATTGCCATGCATTGCTTGACCCATGATGTTTCTTAAAATCTTAAGTTTTAAATATTAGGGAGATAGTAGCCAGGCACAGCGGCTCACACTTGTAATCCTAGCACTTTGGGAGGCCGAGGGCAGGTGGATCACCTCAGGTCAGGAGTTCAAGACCGCCTGGCCTATAACATGGTGAAACCCTGTCTCTACCAAAAAAAAAAAAAAAATTTAGCTGCACATGGTGGCACACACCTGTAATCCCAGCTATTCGGGAGGCTGAGGCAGGAAAATTACTTGAACCTGGGAGGCAGAGGTTGCAATGAGCTGAGAGCCTTGCACTCCATCCAGCCTGGGCAACAAGAGCAAAATTCTGTCTCAAAAAAAAAAAAAAAAAAAGAAAGAAAGAAAAGAAAAAAAATTAGGGAGATAGCATTTTTTAAATCTCATTTTTTGGCTTCTCAAAAACAGATCTGTCTTTCTCATCTGGCCACATTAAAGCCATGAATTGGATCTGAGTGTCAGCCAAGCTTCCCATGGGGGAAGTGCTCAGAGTTCACAGCCATTCCCTAGTAATGTCACCCCAACGCTGAGGACAAATGGCAGTTGCCAAGCAACGTGGCCCCCACACTGTTGATTCTATCACACATGAGCATGCGAAAGATGGCGAGGCAGGATGCTTTTCCATCTTTTGGTCCATTCCACTTATTTATGTTCCCAAATGTCCCTGAAGACACTGGCATTTGTAACTCTTGATCAAAGTGCACCTTAATATCAAAGTCCACGGGCTGAATGATTAACAAACTGTTTACTTTCTAAATGTCTCTCTTAGGAGGGGATTTCTGGTCAATGTTGGGTGTGAATAAGGTGCACGATGTGAATGTGAAATGGACCATTCTGCCTGACCATTCTCTCCTCACCCCTGAACCAGCCCCTCACACTGCCACCACCACCACCCCCAAAAAAGAGCAAAAACAGGGCAGAGAGTCTCAGCTCTTCAGTCAAAGACTTCTGATTGCATGCACTTAAATCTGAATAATAAAACCACTCCATAAACCCCAGCAGTTCTCTCCTGCGCTGCTCCTCCGCCTTAGAATATGGGTAAAAAGTGCCAGCAGGCACCATTCACCAAATGCTTGCTGTGTTCAGGGCTAGCTCCCCACAGAACCCTCCCTTCCCCATGTCCAGCTGGGTGTATATACAGTCCATGCCCCCCTGAATCCCCAGTCTCCACATCCGTCCCAGAGGAGGGCAGAACACCAACTTCCAAGTTCCGGGTTCGCAAACTGCCTCCAACTGACCACAAAGTGCTAAACGGGTCTCTGTCTACGCTCCGGCCAAAAAGCCAAGGGTGAGTCCTATCACAGACCCATGAGGAAGATCAGCAATGAGCTCAACAGACCCAGATACTTTCCACAGAACTACTCTACCGTCACCCGGGTCCTTCCAAGGCTTTGCCAACAGAAGCTCCTACAGCCAAACGACCACCCCACTGACCCCCACCACACTACAGACGTGAGGAGGACAGAGACAGGGTGGGCAGAGAAGCTGCAGGACTTGGAGTCAGGCCTGGGTTTGAAGCCTGGCACCACCAGCTAATAGCAGTGACCTAACTTCTTGCATTTTTTCACCTGTCAGTTACCATCCACTCTACAAGCTTGGTGAGGGGATTAGCAGCACACAGTAGGGTTTAGAAACAGCAGCAAATGTCACGGACCCCAAAAGGAAAGTCACCTGGCATTGTCAGTCACTGAGTATGGGAACTTTGAGGACAGCGGGATCCAATCAGCTACAGCAACCTGAGCAAGCCACTTACCCGCTCTCAGCAATGAGCAACGGCAGGTGAGGGCTGAAGCAAGGGCAGGTCAGTGCTGATCAATACTGAACCTGA